TGGGTTTAACCTGTATTATTTGTTATAAATAAAATTCATTTTTTATTCTTGCCAATGGGCTCATAGCTGAAAATCATTAGAATGTGAGTTATCGGAAAGAATTTAAATTCTCATTCCCTAATATCACTTGTATAAATGAAGTAATTGAATGAATAACTTAAGCCCAATGGGCTAAAGTGATATCTTAACCCAAAACCCTAAAATCATATGACAAAATTGTATATTTAAAGAGTATCGGCAATACTCTTTTAATATATTTGAACATTTCAAAGGTATTGTTGCGCGGCTATACACTTTAACATTTTAGAAATTAAAAACGTATAGCCGAGCGGCTATACTCGTTAAAAATATTCACGTTTTGGGGACAGAGAAACGAACACGAAGCTTGCAGTCAGAGTCACAGCCGTTTCCAAGCTTCAAAGACTCGGTCTTGAGCCTATCTCTCAACTCAAGTTTTGATTTTTTTTCTTCGGTTTTGGCTATTGCGTTGATTTGATTGGATTGGCTCTTTCAATGTATGTAAAGATAGAGACTTCGTACTCTGGGCTCAGCACTGAAAAGAGACCCAACCTGCCTAGTAGCCTAGAGCCCGCCTAGGCCAATTTTTTGATCACGACAATTGACTGAAAGTCTGAAACCCCAAATTGAAAATTAAAATATAGACATGTAAAAGTTGTCAAATTGTTGGAGTTCCACGACAGCAAGAAAACCAACAATTCAATGACCAAAAAAAGATCATGGAGTTGTACAGAAAATTCAAAGTTCCAAAATAAGTTGGATTAAATCACTACTAATATAATCTCCGCTTTAATCTAACAAATGAGTGAAAGAAACAAATGAAATTGACATTTTCAAACTCAAAGTATAGAACGAACTCGGAGAAATCCTTGAACTTATGTGAAACCGAGACATTCATTGCATCTCGTAGAACTTGAACATGGCAACTCTCTAAACCACATTCAAACATTGAAATTTCCTTGTATATCTCCTATTTTGGGAATGGAAGGAGTAACAACACCAGCAATAGTAGCAGTAGAAACAATCATTTTATTCATAACCAAACCGAACTTCAAACAAATACTTAGTCGCATCCATCTCACCACATTTACCTTGGAACCCCTTCATGGAGATTATCCTAATGTGTGAAGACAAACAAGTAAGCACAAATGCTGGTGGACGAAAAGGGTTGTTTTCTGTGTTCAACATAATATCAAGGTCTAGGATAAAAGATTCTAGATTAGGTGATCGGTTCATATATTCTATGAGCAATGTCCAGTAACCAAAATGAATGAGTCCAAGCTCCAACTATTTCAAATGTTTAAAGATAGTAGGCAAAAATAAACCATCCAAACTAGAAGCAGAAGAGAAAGATACGTAACATTGGAAATTCCTATAGTAAACGGAGGCACAAGGTAATCACAGCCTAGACTTTCACCTACTGGAAGACTATAGGGACGAATTTTGGTTGCAGATTTTAGAAAACATAAAATGGCCTATGAGCACCAACTCAAGACATCGACAATCAGGTTTTCAAGCTTTGGGGAATTGATGAAGAGTTGGAACGTACGATTATTTCTAGTATTTGTGATGCTTGTCTTCAATTCAGGGGCAGAGATTTTGAATCAACTCTAAAATTCCCGAGTATAGTCAAATCTTCAAGTATGGGGCACTTAGAAAAAAATTTCTCCATTGAGGTACCATCTCCCCCATCAAATCTAACACAGAGGTACTTGAGACTCGGGAGATTGACCTACATGTAATGCCAGTGTACATAAGAATGGTTTCTTCCCCTATTCTTGTGTTAAATATCCCTAGGTGCCCTTTTGACATATGATAGTATCTCTTTACAGATCGAAGACAACTTGAGAGACTTCTCGGCGGGGAAGCAATGATGCCTTCCCCACAAGATCCTGAGAGCTTCAACTATCCTATCATGGAGTTTCTATGATCTTGCCAATAACAAGGTTCGGTTTCTGACTATTTGTTTTTGGTTCGTTAAGAAATAGATTGATTGGTTTGGTTCTTCTTCCTTGAAACTTGATAAATCTTGATGCATTCAATATTCATCCATTGATGGTTCTTCTTGGTTGGGCTGCTTTTCATTCTTTGGATATTGCATTTCTGTTATAGATTTTGACATTTGATCATACCCTCAAGTATACCCAGTTTAATTTTCCTTGTAAATGTAAATGTAGCATTTTTGTTTTTGTGGAAGGTGTGCAGGTGTCCTGGCCTTGTGGCTTCGAGTTTACCAGTAAATTTATTGGACAGCAAACACACGAACCTAGAGCTGATTGGCAAGTGGAAAATTTGGAGGTGTTATCATTGGGTTCATACTTAAATTTGGCCATAATACTTGAAATTATACAAAAACATTGCAAGAATTTTTATGGTTTAGATTTGTCCAAAGGCTCTGTTCATGGGCGTGAGGCATATTGTCAATTGTGAAGTTGGTGCCTAATATCAAGTACTTAAATTTGAAGGGTGCAAAAGTTAATCGGGATGGTCTTGTCACGTTGCTACGCGAATGCAAAGGTTTGGTGATGTTGGACGTCTGAGATTGTTTTGGTTTCGATGAGAACAACGATGAAATATCAAAGCTTGCGTCTCATATTAGTAAATTTAAGTGCGAAAGGGTTCTAAATTTCTTGAATTTCTTCGTGGTATGGACAATTTTGTTCTTTTTGTTGATGGATACTCATTTCATGTGCATGTGGAGGAGATGTGGGATGAAATGCTCAATGATTTGTGCGATGCGTTCAATGATTTGGGCGACGAGGAATGAAGAACTATTTGATTGTACTAAGCGATATCTCATCTTTTTTTATATTTACAACATTGAAGAGCAATTATGTGTGTTGAGTGTGGAGTGGTGTGGTGTTCATCTTGTGTTTTTGGACACTGTACTCTAATGAGGGCTTGTTATAAGTTCCTATCTTGATTTCATTATAAAATGTGTGCTTAATTTGGAAAATGGCCATTCAAAATTCCTTCGCTACATTTTGTGTAATATCACATGTGCTCGCAATTGTTCTTCGGCCTTGCCTCTGCCTGTATAAATAAAATAATTGAAGAAATAACTCTAGCCCTGTGCGGCTTTACTTTCTAAATACATTTGGATATTTTAAGAGTATAGCCGTTCGGCTATACGCTTTATATATTAATATATTCGAATATTTTAAGGGTATAGCCGATCGGCTATACTCTTTGAATATATTTGAAACAAACACGAAAGCTTGCACTGGCATAGGACGGTGCTTGCAGACGCAGTCAAGTTTCAGCTGCTTCGTCCTCCTTGTTCGGCACCAGAAAATGACCCAACCCACATAGGAGGCCCGCCCAGCCACCTAGCGCCTGCCTAGCCGCCTAGCGCCCGCCTAGCCGCCTAGCCCCCGCCTAGCCGCCTAGCCGTCCGCCTAGCCCCATTTTTTGAACACTGCGATTGACTGAAAGTCTGCAACCCGAAATTGAAAAAGTTTACCTGCAATTTTGAGCTTGAGATTGAGATTTGGAAGCCGAAGCAAGCACAAGTCATGGGAACCCTAAATACAAAATTTGCTGACTTGGTGTCTGTCTTCGGTGGAAGGAAATGATGAAGCTATCCTAACATGGAGTTTCTATGGTCTTGCCAATAACAAGGTTCGGTTTTTAGGCCCCAATCTCAAATTCTGACTATTTATTTCTGGTTTGGTTAAGCAATAGATCGATTGGTTTGGTTCTTCTTGCTTGAAACTTGATAAATCTTTATGCATTCAATATTCATCCATTGATGGTTCTTCTTGGTTGGACTGCTTTTCATTCTTTGGATATTGCATTTCTGTTATAGATTTTGACATTTGATCATGCCCTCTTGTTTGCTGATAGAAGAAAAAAAGAAAGAAAGAAAGATTTGTCTCCTCCTCCTCTTGCATAGGGACACAAAACCAACCCACGAAAGAACAGAAAAATAAATAAATAAATAAATAAAAATGACACCACCTTAGTCCTGACCCAAATGACATGTGGAAACTATCAAGCTAACTGTAGGGAAACCCGGGAGGCAACAGCACACATTTTCTATAGAACTGAACCTACCTAGCTTAGAAGATGGAGGGGCAGAAGAGTAGAAAATCAAATAGCTTACCATATATTTGTTGCTGGTTCTTCCTCACATATAATAGCAGGGTTAGGCCCAGGATCAGCAGTCCAGTAGACAACACAGTACTGGTTACTATGATCTTTGTATTGTGTCCTCGATCTAGGACACGGAATGAAGTATTTGAAAGCAGAAGATTGAGGAGTCAGAAATTCATAAAGGAGACATATAGAAGAAATCTAGGCCTGGATTTCATATATTTGTGTAGTTCGAACAAAATAAATATAAAAAAAGTCTTTGATAGGAGTTCAATGTTCACTCTTCGCATTTTTGCAATGGAAGATGTTGGTTTAGTTGAGGCTCATGTAATCTCTCTTAATATTAAAAACAAAAAAACAAATCCATGTTTTTACACTTGGTCGCTCCTGGCTCTAATTGTTTCCCTCCTTGGCTGATCCCACATGAAAAAAAGGCTACATGATCTCAATCAAAACTAACTTATTTTTCCAGTTTATCCAGTCCTTCCATGCAGAGATACAATGCAGCGCTCAAGAACAAATTCCTGTGATCTTCTTGCCCAGCTTCCTTCTTCTCTGTCCTTAGGCTCTGGGTACCTATATCCTTTTCATTTTCGCATTTTTGTTTACTCATTCAATCATAATTACCAACTACCATACATATCTTGAAAAAAGAAATTAATTAGTGTTTTTATATCATTAACCATGGGTTTTCATGAGCAGGATTTATGCACATCCATTAATATTAAACCAGCCCATTTGTTGAACTCATCTTCTAACAGAGATTCAAGTGCCATGGCAGTGAGCTCAAGTTCCCATTTTTCCTAGCTAGTTCCAAAAGAAAGTCATTTTCTGTACATATAATTAAATGTAACTATATGTTTCTACTTACATTTTGCAGGAAAGAGATGGGACCAGAGTTTTGGTTCCAAGTGCAGAGGGTTGATTGAGCTGTTTGTCTCCAAAGATGTATGATGTTTTATGATGCTTCACTCAAACCTTGCTTTAATTTCTTATGTTAGATTTGAAATTTTATTTTGGTCACATCTCTCACAAATACTTTTTTTTTTAGGTAACTGTCAAATTCACAGATCTCTGATGACCAACAATTGATTGATTATGTCACAGCCCAATGCAACATTTCACTGGAGCAAGACACCCTGCTTGGTGTTGGCTGCAATAGAAGCTTCCCTGTCAATATAAATGACATGAGCACTGAAATACAGCCACAGCCTTGTAAATGTAAATGTAGCATTTTTGTTGTTGTGGAATGTGTGCAGGTGTCCTGGCCTTGTGGCTTCGAGTTTACCAGTAATTTATTGGACAGCAAACACACGAACCTAGAGCTGATTGGCAAGTGGAAAATTTGGAGGTGTCATCATTGGGTTCATACTTAAATTTGGCCATAATACTTGAAATTATACAAAAACATTGCAAGAATTTTTATGGTTTAGATTTGTCCAAAGGCTCTGTTCATGGGCGTGAGGCATATTGTCAATTGTGAAGTTGGTGCCTAATATCAAGTACTTAAATTTGAAGGGTGCAAAAGTTAATCGGGATGGGCTTGTCACGTTGCTACGCGAATGCAAAGGTTTGGTGATGTTGGACGTCAGAGATTGTTCTGGTTTCGATGAGAACAACGATTAAATATCAAAGCTTGCGTCTCATATTAGTAAATTTAAGTGCGAAAGGGTTCTAAATTTCTTCGTGGTATGGACAATTTTGTTCTTTTTGTTGATGGATACTCATTTCATGTGCATGTGGAGGAGATGTGGGATGAAATGCTCAATGATTTGTGCGATGCGTTCAATTGGGCGACGAGGAATGAAGAACTATTTGATTGTACTAAACGATATCTCATCTTTTTTTATATTTACAACATTGAAGAGCAATTATGTGTGTTGAGTGTGGAGTGGTGTGGTGTTCATCTTGTGTTTTTGGACACTGTACTCTAATAAGGGCTTGTCATAAGTCCCTATCTTGATTTCATTATAAAATGTGTGCTTAATTTGGAAAATGGCCATTCTAAATTCCTTCGCTACATTTTGTGTAATATCACATGTGCTCACGATTGTTCTTCAGCCTTGCCTCTGCCTCTGTTTCTATCTTAACTTTCCCTAACCACCAAAGGTTTTCCTAGCAAAATTTCTTTGAGGTTCAAGAAAAGTTTCTTGGCGAAAGAATGTTGGTTGCAGCAGCTTAACAACATGCACAACCAATAGACAAATGAAGTAATATGTTATATTTAAGAATGAGATGCTACTTCTCATCTAACACATGTTGTTTGAATTCTCATTTTGAATAGTTCATATATCAATGTCATATGACCTCTGATACCTTCAATAAATTTCAAAACAGAGCTGCAAACTTCTCTTCGTTGTCTTGTTAGACTGTTTTGTATCCAATTTTTCTTCAAGAAAGTAAATTGCTATACAAGCAATTTTATATTATGAAATTCAACATCCTTTGATCCAAAAAATGTTGAGGGATTTTGTTGTTGTTGTTGTATTTATGGGTTTAACATGTATTATTTGTTATAAATAAAATTCATTTTTTATTCTTGCCCAATGGGCTAATAACTGGAAATCATTAGAATGGGAGGTATTAGAAAGAATTTAAATATATCGCATGTATAAATAAAATAATTGAAGTAATAACTCTAGCCCCGCGCGGCTTTACTTTCTAAACACATCTAGATATTTTAAAAGTATAGCCGCGTGGCTAGACGCTTTAAATATTAATATATTCGAATATTTTAAGGGTATGGCCGACCGGCTATACTCTTTGGATACATTTGAAACAAACACGAAAGCTTGCAATGGCATAGGACGGAGCTTGCAGACGCAGTCAAGTTTCAGCTGCTTTGTCCTCCTTGTTCGGCACCTGAAAATGACCCAACCCACCTAGGAGGCCCGCCCAGCCACCTAGCGCCTGCCTAGCCGCCTAGCGCCCGCCTAGCCGCCTAGCCCCCGCCTAGCCGCCTAGCGCCCGCCTAGCCGCCTAGCCGTCCGCCTAGCCCCATTTTTTGAACACTGCGATTGACTGAAAGTCTGCAACCCGAAATTGAAAAAGTTTACCTGCAAATTTGAGCTTGAGATTGAGATTTGGAAGCCGAAGCAAGCACAAGTCATGGGAACCCTAAATACAAAATTTGCTGACTTGGTGTCTGTCTTCGGTGGAAGGAAATGATGAAGCTATCCTAACATGGAGTTTCTATGGTCTTGCCAATAACAAGGTTCGGTTTTTAGGCCCCAATATCAAATTCTGACTATTTATTTTTGGTTTGGTTAAGCAATAGATCGATTGGTTTGGCTCTTCTTGCTTGAAACTTGATAAATCTTTATGCATTCAATATTCATCCATTGATGGTTCTTCTTGGTTGGACTGCTTTTCATTCTTTGGATATTGCATTTCTGTTATAGATTTTGACATTTGATCATGCCCTCTTGTTTGCTGATAGAAAAAAAAGAAAAAAAAGAAAAGATTTGTCTCCTCCTCCTCCTCTTGCATAGGAACACAAAACCAACCCACGAAAGAACAGAAAAAATAAATAAATAAAAATTACACCACCTTATTCCTGACCCTGGAAACTGTCAAGCTAACTGTAGGGAAACCAGAGAGGCAACAGCAAACATTTTCTATAGAACTGAACCTACCTATCTTAGATGATGGAGGGGCAGAAGAGTAGAAAATCAAATAGCTTACCATATATTTGTTGCTGGTTCTTCCTCACATATAATAGCAGGGTTAGGCCCAGGATCAGCAGTCCAGTAGACAACACAGTACTGGTTACTATGTTATGACCAAAAGTTGGTCGTGAGGGGAAAAGAATGCCAAAATCATTTACACTTCCTAAGTGAGCATCAATCTACGTAAGAAAATGATGGGTCACATACTCAAAAGTTGCAGTTTCCTTGAGAATTTGTGTTCTTTTTCATAACTTACTTCTAATTGTTGTTGCCTCCATTTTAAGAATATAATTGCACAATGCGCTTTGCATATGCAACCCCAGTTCATTGAAGAACACGACGGCAGTGAATATGAACTACAAGAACTGAAAATCAGCAACTCCATACCATTTTAAGTATGAGAACATTCTCACCAAATATAGAACCATCAGGACTCTGTCGGATACGATTAACAGATACTTATGAATCTTTGACCAGAGCTTCCTGAAATAATTGACATTGGTTCAAATTTCGGATCATATCAGTAAGGTTGAGAGAGTAGTACGTAATCCAGAAGCAGATGCACCTTTAAGGCCATTGGGCCTGCATCAAGATTCCAGACTCTAAAATTTCTTGAAAGCAACTTTTTCCCTGAACTAACATCCCATAGTCCTATGTCTCCAACACCCCCAGGTTCCGACTGAAGAATCACATTAGCAGGATTCATGAGTGAACTATAAAAACTAGTTACTGCACACGATCATTCTAAAAAGACAGGAAATTTATAAACGATGGGAGAAAAAAAGAAGAAAAAAAAAACATAGTTTCTCATTACTTAACATAGAAGAAGAGTCCGCCAAGTGGGATGAAAATCCATGCTCATTGGAGATGAGCCCTCATTTAGTGTCAGGGCAAAAGTTGTGGGCAAAACATTGGGTATGGCAACCGCGGACAGGTGACTTTGGCCAAGATCAGTGACAGTTGATTTTACCTAAACAAATGAAAGAAAACCAAGGTCAAGATACAGAAGTTCTATAATTATATAATTCTGTACATAAAATTGATTCAGATTACCTCATCCAAAATCAGAGAGAACATTTTTTTGGAATGGATAGTCAATAACCTCTATAGCTGTAGCCACAAAAATTTAATCAAAGGTTAATAATAACAACTATGCAATGTGTAAAATGACGACACATTTTAAACATAAATTAGAGGGTACCAGTACCCAACAACATCACTTGAAGATCAAAAATAAAATACCTGGGCTCTTTGCAGCATTGAGAGATACTGCTCCCGGAGAGTGCATCTTGTGTTACAGATAAATTTTTGGCTTAGCAGAAGAAGTTGGAAATGGATTTGATGTTGCTTGTGAAGGCTAAATACAGAAGGTTAGAGCAATCTTAGAAGAAACCGGAAAGACTAAACAAAATCTAGTTTAAAAATAGAAAAAGAAAATCAGCTAGTATGGCTGATGAGCAGGAAACCTTGGTTAATGAGGACCAATACGAAAAGAATTTCAGTTTACCAAAGCATATCTTACTTGCAAACTGTTCCCAGTCGATAGAGACAAAGACAAACAGCCATTCACAAACACGATCAATGAAAAGGGTTTTAATAACTGGATTTGGACAATGCAGGCTGCATCCCTCAAAGAAAAGATTAACCCAATGTTTGGTGGCGAGCATGGCCCATAAAGAGTGGCAGTACTCCGTTTCTGAAAAATACTTTTGGCATACATAATTCTTTTGATATTTGCAGTTGTGGTAGTTTTGAAGACCTTTACAACAGCTGAAACTATGTTGAATGTTCAAGAGTGTAGAGTATAGCGGCTGTACTCTGGAATCATTAGATTAGCATGTTGACTAGCTGTCGGTTATTGTTTTCACTTACAACTGTTACAAATTGTCTTACTTTTATGCCTTTTGGTTTCTGTTTATACAGATGGCTGGAACTTTTGGTTTTGGCCATGACTGGCTGGGTGAAGGAGCTTTTGAGGAATTATTGTAACAAGAATATCAGAAATTGAGGTCTCTTGTGGCTTTTGGAAGATTATTATCTCTGCGTATTATGAGATTCAATAGATTGTTCTTTAAAGAAATATCCATTATTGAATAAATTCTCTGTAGATATGCCATCATTATGCAAAATCTGATTGAGACATTATATCTCCACACATAGAGAGTGCCGTATGATCCCTGTTGGATTGAACCCATACACATTTGATGCATTTCTTTGAACAGCTCCTCATTACCTTCGGCAAAAACTTTGAGATCCTTCATGAGGATATCTAATGCCTTGGAGCGACAATTGCTGTCAAGAATGGACAAAAACATGCAGAACATGGTGTTTTTTAAGATTGTTTATGTATAGATTATAAGAAGCTTCAAAAAAATGTTCTGAGTTGTCAATGGCCTCAAGGAAATTTTGCTTTCTGATCTGGAAATAGATCTTTGTCGCATAGCGATTGTTATGTCTATTTCATATTGACATATTGTTGACGTCAAATCTGGTTAAGAGGAAAAATGTGAGTGTCATTTTTGGAAGAATAAAACTTAGTTCCAACCCCAGAGTATAGCCGCGCGGCCATACTTAAATATATAATTTCAAGCGTATAGCCGTTCGGCGATACTATTTATAAAATAACCTATCCCCCCCGCCTAGGCGGCCGATTTTTGGAAAACTTGAATGGTGTTTTTTTTTCCGATTTCTTTTTTCCTGGCTGGTCTGGCATCTCTGCAAATACATCAAGCTGGAGTTTTAGCTACTCACGTTTAGATCTCCATAGTCCAATCTGTATGAGTTTGAGTACGGGATTCAATCTTAGTAGCATCTCCAGGTTCACCTAAAACAAACATAACACTCAATTGTGAGTTTGACGGGATACTGTTGGACTACTCACGGCAACATGCCACGCCTGAAACCTTGGAAATTGGCAGAGGTGGGGTTGGCCCATTCGTAACTAGTGTCTTGTGGGGGGAAGGGATTGGGTGAATATAGTGCTTTCTAATTAATGTTGTCTATGCCACAATTTCAGGCCTGATGCAGTTGCAAAGCATATGGAATGGTAGCAGTCAGCACTAATCTTACAGTATGGCAATTTCCTTTGTTCTCTTGCCTTTAGTTGATTAAACATTCAGATTATCACTAAATTTAACTAACAATTTTCATTATCCGTTGGTGATTATGAATTTATGTGCTTTTTTCTTTTCGATTTCGAGGGTGATGCTATTTATTGAGTTCATCAGGACGAAAGTCCTAAAGATATCCTTGTTATTTCTATTTCATATTGAGTTGATGGTGATGCTATTTGATGTTTAACTCAAGTATAAATATGCATTTCATGAACCCTCATAGGGTTCCTCCTGCTTGTAGATTGCCACTAATAATGGATACCCTCCGATTTCTTATATTTATTTGCAGATCAGATCATGTATTGTTTATCTTTAATTTTTGTTAGAGATTCAATCCCACTAGAGCCCAAACTTATAACTAGTGATCCCGATCAATCGTCCCGACCCTTTTCTTCTTTGTCAAAGAGAGATTTGTGAGTTTTGGCTCAAGTGACAAGGTTGAAATGTGATCAAGATCATCTGGACTCGATCTCTACCCATCATAATTGTGTAATAATCCTGTCAATATATTCATACAAAAAAGTGGCTCTTGGTGAGAGATGGCAAAGCGAAATAAAAGTTGCACTCCATCCTCAACAGAGTTTGGGGTATGGATCTTAGATTTTAAGTGCACACCATTCTTGACAGAGTTGATATGTTAGGATATTGAGCTTAGATTTTAAGTTTTAATTCTCAAGTTTTTGGCCATGTTCCAAAACCATATAGTGAACTTAAAGCTTAGGTGAGTTTTTTATAAATGATAGTATAAACTACTCTTATTTACGAGAAGAAATACTCGAATGGATGCAATGGTATACTATCCTAGTCAAATGACCTAACCCACGTTTGCAGTATGAGAAAAACTATTAAACTAAGAGCTAATTGATTAGTCGAACTTATTTTGATTGTCGACTCAACCCAATTTTGATCCCTGTCTACAAAGAACAACCAATTTCACCCAATACACCAACCAAAGCAGTAGATAAAGAAGAATTCTATTGCAACCCCCAAATCGCCAGCAATTTTGTTGTCTCAAAAGCCCTATTCTACCCTTAGATAAAATTTTAAAATAGGGGTGGTAATGTAATTTGGCATTCTTATTTCAAAAACCAAATCAAAGACCGCTGCTTTACCAACATTCAAACCCTCTGCAACGGTCGATTGGTCTCCTTTCTCTCGATCTCTGAAGATCAGAACCCGAAAGGAGCAAAAGATTACCGTTTACGATGGCGTCTTTCAAGGTAAGCTTTTAGGAACGTATCTAAGAAATGCTTTTTTTTTGTTTTTTTTTCCGTCTAATTCTTGAAAGTCGAATTTATTGATGAATGAATTAGGGATGTGCTTTGAATTCTTGCTCCGTACAAGTATGGCATTTTCTTGAAAAAGAACTAGGGTTTAGGTATCGGAATTTTAGGGTTTCTTTTCTGGCAGTTGTTTTCTTGTGAAAATTTAGCTTGAATTGAACTAAAGTCTCTCGGTCTTTCTAGAAATTGGATCATCGACAGAGCAATTTGACACATCAAGCGAGAAACAAAATGGTGGCTGCTAAGGTCAGCAAATCCTGAGATTCAATTCTCGGTTAACTTTCTTTGATTTCTCTCTCTTTTTTGCCTTTTGGACGAACGCAATTCTGACATCTATGAACCTCCGATTGGTCTTATAAATTTTTCAGCCAAAATTCAGCATAGGACCGAATGGAGTCGGCAAAGAAAACTTAACACGCACAAGTGGTGCGAAAACTCAGTTCTTACTTCTTCTACTGATTTCAAGTTCGTCTGGTGGTGATTTATTAACTGATTTCATTATTTTTTTTTTAATTTCTTAAACAGTTGGTGTTACAAGTTTTAAGGTTTATTCAGAAAGTGAAACTACCAACGCTGAAGCTAATAGCAGGTAATTTCTGTTCTAAATTTTTGAAATTTCACGACAAGAATATAATGTTATGGTTTTAATCGACGTCTAAGTTGTTGTGGAACGTTATGGTTTTCTTTCATCGTCTACTGTATGCTTTTCTTGGGATTAAAAAAAGAAAGAAATAAAATTTTCTTTGCAACTAAAATCAGCTAAGCCTTCATTCCAGAATTTAAATCTTATTTGTATATAAACCACAAAGTATTAGATTTTAACCATAAAATCTGCCCACTTCTTCTAAGTTCTTGGCAACCATTAGATTGCAAGGGGATTATTTCTGTTTTTCCCTTTTAATTTCAGACGTTCTGTACCAGTTAACAAAGCATCTACCCTGGAGAATACAATTGCTATAAAGGTAATTGATCATCTCCTCAGTCATCTGCTTGTTTTGTGGTGGATTGAGATGGAGTGTAACTTATTGTAATAAAATGTGCTTTGTAATTAAATTTTAATGTTTGCTATGTGTAAATTGTTTTGTTATCAAGGCTGGTTTGAAAAGTATGGACAAGAGAAAAGGCATACTTGGTAGTTCTACAGGTAAGGTTTAACCAGACTGTACTTATGATGCAAAGTTGAGTTACATGTCTTAAAACAGTTCCTTTTTCAAATTGGTGCTGTCCTTTTCTTAGCAAATGCAAATCTCGGGAGAAGAGCATTGGCCGATGTCAGCAATATAAAAAGCAATTCTTCTATGATAGCAGGGGGTGATGCCTCTAAGAAAATGTTGGTACTTTTTTATTTTCTCAAATAGTTCCTTCAGTTTGGATTTTGAGCTAGAAGTTCTAAAGTTTGAGCTATGTTCAATGCAGGAATGGTAAAAGTGAGAGAAAGAAATCTTTGCAACGGTATGCATTTTGACTTTATGTCATCATCATTATTGCTCCTTTTTGGTATATAATGCATACAGATTGATATGGATATAGATACTAGCAAATATGTGAGTATTTTTTAGATCCTTTGCTTTTGCTTGAATGCAGCACTGTTTTCTTTTGTATCTTTCTAGGGTTTCCGTGGGTGCGGGCATTAAGACTGTGAGTGTATCATCAAGGAGATCCTTCCTGGTAAGAATGTTAAAGTTATAGCTCTCTTATTTCCATTATTGTGTAGTGTGCTTTTCTGTTTTACGTAGATGTTTTCTCCATAATTTGGGAAAAGGACAAAAAAAAACAAAACAAAACAAAAGAAATAAGAAAGCACTTCAATTTATTTTACATATAATTTTACCCCCAATCTAGGCAACAGCTTAAACTGCTTTTCCTATCCGTGTTTTGCTTCTGAGAGGTCAAGTTTGTGTTTGCCACTGTCCCTTTGTATGTTTGACAGCATAAAGACAGGTCTTTTTTTCCCCAGAAAAACTTGGCAAGTATCAACGCTAATCATTTTCATATATTGTTATTTGGTCATCCACTTTTAACTAATGAATTTTTTCTTACTTGCATTAGGGAAAAGGGCAGGAAAGCCCTGGCCTAGGCGTATCTAGGTTGCAGACTTCAAAGAGAGGTGACTTTAATACTTCTGAAGTGCTATTATAGTTTCCCTGATTGAGCGCTGTGTGAAAATTTTCCATTATGGATAACTGTAGCTATTAAAGACTTGAAGGCCCCTTCAGACAACCAAAGGACCAAGGCTATGGGTCTGGGCCGTGAATCTATTGCTGCAGATGGCAGGTCTGACCCAACTTTTTTTTCCCCTTTATTAGACATAAGAAATTGTGCTGCAATTTTATTTCTTTGTTGTGCCTTCGAATTTTTTTTATTTGGCCCATATTCTTTTGAAACTGAATTTTTAAAGACCCCTAATTAGATTTTCTTTTCTTTTCGTATGTCAGGAGGACTTCAAGGAATACACTTAAATTGATAAGGTCTCTGATGTGCAAAACATGTTTGGTTATGTACTGTGAATAAGTTGTGTATCTGTTATTGATGTAATTTCCTATTCCTCTTTCTCCATTTTAAAGGAAGTCTTTGCCGGTGTTAAAGGTCAACCCAGAAGAAACGAGTATTCCAAAGGTTGCTGTTATACATTTTATATACGTTCTTTGGTTGAGCTTTTCTAACAGGACTATGATTTCTAAGTTGGACATTTATGTTTTTTGCTTTCCTCCTTGTAGGAAAATGCTGGAAGTTCTGAAAATGCCAAAGAAAAGAGTGGGTATTATGGTAAGATGCCTTGACTTATTTAAGACTTGATAAGTGCATGTGTAAGGATCTCTGACCAAATGGCATTGTGGAATACAGTTAGGGCTAAAGTTGGCAAGACGGTAGTACCCAGAATAAGCAATAATGCTAGGAGCCATCTGTTGCGGAATCGAGTGAGTGATGGCTTTATGAATATGTGAGTCACAGTGATCCATAAAACTAGCATTTTTCTTCCTCTTAAATACCGTTAAAAGGTTTTGCTGATAATTGTGGCATATCGTGCTAACTTCATTTTGCTTCTGACTGAATGAAATGGCAGTATCTTACATTTATGGATACTGGGATTATTTTTTATGGTATAGGCCATGTCTAATATGTCATTGTCAAGATGCACTTAGAACTATAAGGGAGTACAGGAAAAAACTTGTATTCTGTATTCATCCCAATTCTATGAATCTTGTGGTTTCTCCCACTTATTTTTAAACCTTTCCTTTTTCATTGGTCTGGAAAAAGAAAGTTTACTCTAGTGCTTGTTACATGGTGTCTAAGAATCAATTTCATAACATTACATGTTAATATAATTTTTCATTCTTGAAAGTCACAGCACACATAGATTAAGAATGGATTCTTTGGCATGTGATGGTATCTCACTTGTTATGCCTGGTGAGTTCCCTCTTGGGTTTCTCCAACCTTTCAGCAAAAAAGGAGCTGAAAATGTTATATGGAGAGCTGGGGGTTTTCATTTTGCCCTTCAAAGGGAGCAAGGGTAGTGAGAGACTTGAGGGGCTCTTGTAATCACTTTATTTTTTCTTTCACTATTATTGTTTGAATTACTACATTGGTTAACTTTTTAATTCGTTCAATGTGTTTATGTTGCATTATCCTTTAATATATCATATCTTAATTAAACAAGGTTGAGATTCCTATCTATTAATAGTTTTCTTGTGATCTGAGATTGCAGGGGTCAAGCTAATTCAAATACTAGTGCGTTGCCGAGAATTTCTGTGAGAGTAAGTACAAAAAGAACTGATGCCCCCCCTCTCCTTTCCACGAACACACACAACATTACTTTGTCATTTTGTTTGACCAGTTTTTATATTAGTTGCTCAAGTTTATCTATTTCATTAGTATAACAACTTCAATTGCGTTGACATGTTTTCTTTTCAATGGTTAAACAATCAGTCAGTAGAATTTTATTATTGTTGAATGCAATAAGAATATTTGTATTTCAACATATAGTGAAAAAAATTGAATCGATGACTAGTTTGTGCTAAATATGAGTATTTGCAATACCTATAAGTCAACACAAATTGGGTATAACTTTGTCTGCTTTGATTGGTTTACGTCATTTAGTTCCTTAACACTGTTAAATCAAGTTATTGCTTAAGCCACATCGATTATTTTTGCATCAACTTGAAGCTTTATGACAGTGCATTCATTTAATCACTTTACCTGAGTGATTTCTTTTCGTAATTTATTGTAAGCCTCCATTGTTCCATCACCACTTCTAAGTTTTGAATTCAAAGTATTCAGTATTCTATATGTTGTTTTGTAGATATCCATAAATGTCAGAATACTGAAGCATCCTGAATTTGTTTCTTGGCATGTTATATCAAGATGAAATCAATATCATATGTTTATTTATGTTCCTTTAATTTTTTTGTCATCCAGCCAATTCTGAAGTCCACACTGAACACTTCTGAATCCCAAAGGACTTTGAAATTGAAGTGTGCATCAGGTCCAAAAAAATTGGTTTCTGCTAATGCAACTTCATCCAAAACTGAAAAAGTAGTTACATCTTTTCTTCCTGAGAATGTAAAGCATGATTCCACTCAAGGAGAGCTTCCATCTGATGGCAAGTGCAGCCATAGTGCTTCAAGTATCATCTCCAGGAGAAACTCAAATAGGAGGCGATCTTACACATCTCTGTTGATGACTGGATCCAAGGTTGGGGCTTACCGTATTCCAATACTACTGCCTTTATTATTTCTTTGTGGACTTTAATCACACTTGAACCCATTTGCAGTTACTAGAGGAACGTGATGAAGCTATGAAACAAGAAGAACTGCCAAGTATTGATGATGATTGCAATCAACTGGAAGTTTCTGATTATGTTGATGAGATCTATCAGTATTACTGGGTTTCTGAGGTAATGGTCATGATGTCTCTCTAATACCATTGTTTTCATTTTAGTCTAGTAAGGATAGTGGATGTCAAAATGTTCTTCATACTTTCAGAGTGTTCAAATCATCTACATGTATGCACACACAGCAATAAATGTATATTTATATCCCCTATGATAAATTGGATTCACATCATGCTGGCCTTCAGTGCCATTTTCCTGAGGTCTTTTGGGTTCACGTCAAAAGTTTTTTTATGTTTCTTCATTTTTCTTGCATGATTCTCTTACGGGTTCCAATACCATATTTTGTGTAGTTCAAAATCTGACCTGTTGCCACTTTCTTCCTCTTCCCTCCTGTAGTCATACTACCTGTAGTTCTTATTCTGACTTGTTGAATGTGTTTAACTGCAGGCACAGAATCCACCTCTGGAAAATTTCATGTTGATTCAGGCAGATATTACTCCTCATATGCGAGGCATATTGGTCAATTGGTTAATTGAAGTACTTTTTTTTACCTTTTTTATGCACTCTGATGCTCTTTTTTTCTTCTTTTCATCTTGTTGGTCCATTTTTGCATTTCCTTGTGTTTAATAGTTGGCTATCCACTTGCTTTGCTATGCTAATTTGTTTGTCGATATGGGAACAGGTACACTTCAAATTTGAATTGATGCAAGAAACACTTTATCTCATGGTCACATTGTTGGACCAGTATCTTTCTCAAGTCACAATCAAGAAGGATGAAATGCAGTTAGTTGGTCTCACTGCACTCTTGCTGGCATCAAAATACGAGGATTTTTGGCATCCTAGGGTAAATATCAATATCTCAACTTCCTTGCATTTTTCATGATTTTCTTTCTTATGCTCTACAAAAAAAAATGCAGGTCAAAGAACTAATTAGCATCTCAGCTGAGTCATACACAAGAGACCAGGTCCTCGGAATGGTATGCGTTCTTTCATTTGTCAGATTATTTGGGTATATCTGATTATTTTTTAGGTATGCGTCTTTTTATTGCTGTATTCTATAGGTTTCTATTCTTCCAGTCCAAACAATAAACTCTGGCTTTGCTTTTCAGGAGAAACTCATGCTTAAAAAGTTGAAGTTTCGTCTTAATGCACCTACTCCATATGTTTTCATGTTAAGGTTTCTCAAGGCTGCTCAGTCAGAACCAAAGGTATTTAATAATTTCTAAGGCTAAGAAACGGAAAATTTGATTAACGATGAACTCCATAACTACAAGTGTTTCTGTGTCTGTGTGAGTTGTAGATGAATGAAAAAAATTCAAATAAGAAAGAGACAGATTGCACACCACAGTTTAGTAGATAACTATAGAGTCAACTCTGATTGAATCTTTAGCTTTGCTAATTACTTTTTGGACATTGCTGCAGCTTGAACACCTAGCATTCTACCTTATCGAGTTGTGTTTAGTTGAATATGAAGCTTCAAGGTTCAAGCCCTCATTGCTGTGTGCAGCAGCCCTTTATGTCGCAAGGTGCACCCTGCAGATAACTCCGGCTTGGACCCCACTGCTCTGCAAACATGCTCGCTATGACGTGACCCAAATCAGGCACTGCTTCTTTAGAAAATAAGCAAATAAATTCATGTCATTATGTAGTGATTGCATCATAATGAATGTTAACGATCGATATTTGATCATTGCAGAGACTGTGCAGAGATGATCTTAAAAGTCCAAAAAGTTGCTAGAGTGGGACGGTTGAAGGTCACGTATGAGAAGTACATGAGGCCTGATCTCAGTGGTGTTGCAGCAATAAAACCCTTGGAGAGACTTCCCCTCTGATTCAGCTCACATGGGAAGATAAGAACGTTAACGATCAGAGAGATAAGACTTTCTGGTTTCATTCAAATCTTCTGCTCAATACTGTTCTCTGACTTCAGCACGTATGGGAGATGCTTTCCCCCGATGTTGTTGAAGCCTGTCAGAATATAACTCTGCTTGTATATCTTACTGATCTAACACAATGAAGGACGTGAAGGGTGTCCGTCAAGCTTGTTAAAGAAGCCTTGTTTTGTAGTGCTCCTACTGGTGATGTCGACACATTAGGGCTTTTGGGATTGTGAAGTCTGTTCATTTGGTACCGCAGTTCACATCTGTATGTTCTGAGATGATATTAGTCTACACCCTAGTGTGTAACAACTATTGTTGTTGCTAAGAAAATATGATCTTGGAACGGAAACACATATTGTTGTTGTAACAACTATTGCTATATGAATTTCTAGCTTCCTGTTAACGGTACATATTGCCTTGATCAATCATTTTCCCCTTTTATCTTTTGATAAATCTAAACTACAGAGTCTTATGAACCTTTTACAGAGTCTGATTTAGATGACATAACTTGCTTATGAAGCAAACAATTTGCCCGTGAGCCTTAACTCAATTGGCATGGGTAAGGGTAGATTGTAGACTCAATTCCCCTTGTAACCAAAAGAAAAATCAAACCACCACATGGATCTTCTCGGGGGGGAAACCTGGACACAACTGATTTCCGACTCAAACAAGGTTTATCAGCTCTGAAATGCAGAGAATTGACCTGTCCAAGAAGCAAACTAGTTACACAGCAGTTTGTCAACATGGCCACTGAAAGTGGCTCTACAAATCATATACCACCTACCCACAAGGCCCGCATGAGTCAAAGACCATCTTTATATGAAAAATCACCATTGTTGGTCCAGTTGCCTATAGAAGTACTAACCACTCAGAAAACACTAGACCAAGTATTGCTCTACCAAGAACGGCACGGCACACGGCAGACGTATAGAGGTTCAACCAACAAGTAGCAAAGACATCAGGCAAAAAAAGAGCCCAAATGCAAGGTAGGGATGAAGTAAAGAGGGGAAACAAAGGTGATAAAGTAAAGATGGCATCGAGGCTTTGGACTACGAAAATAAAATCTGGAAGCGAATCTGAACAGAATCGGTGCTGGAATTCTTAGATAGTATAATTGCTGGTGATTACAACAAGTAAAAGAAATTGGTTTTACTACCATTGATCAAATAATAGTTTTTGTAAAAAATACATGGTCAATTTATTCTTATGTATATTGACCAAAAAAATACAATTTATTCTATGTTTACAACAAGTAAAAAGTGGTACGTTTAGCCAAACAGCAGTCTTGTTAACACATACACGATCAATAATTGACACCAAATATAGTGTTTCTTATGAAGTTTAGTAGCACTAGATGCACCAGGTGTGAAGTAAATATCTGGCACTCCTGGTTCCCCTGTGAAGGACATTTGTGGTATTGGTGGCGGAGTTCGTACCAGCGGAGCTGGGGGTGTAAGCAGAGGAGCTGGTGGAGGTGTAGTTGGCAAAGGCAGAGTTGGGCGAGGCCTATTTAGCAAAGGCGGAGGCATAACCTGTAGAGGCGGAGGCGTAGCTGGCAAGGGTGGAGATGACGGAGGCGTAGCTGGCAAGGGCGGAGATTGCGGAGGCGTAGCTGGCAAGGGTGGAGATTGCGGAGGCGTAGCTGGCAAGGGTGGAGCTGGCGGAGGCGTATCTGGCAAGGGTGGAGCTGGCGGAGGAGTAGCTGGCAAAATAAGAACTAGTGGAGGTGCAGCCGGCAGAGGTGGAGATGGCGGAGGCATAACGAGCACAGGCGGAGATGGCGGAGGTATAACGGGCACATGCGGAGATGGCGGAGGCATAACGGGCACAGGCGGAGATGGCGGAGGCATAACGGGCACAGGCGGAGACGGCGGAGGCATAACGGGCACAGGCGGAGATGGCGGAGGCATAATGGGCACAAGCGGAGATGGCAGAGGCATAACGGGCACAGGCGGAGATGGTGGAGGCATAACGGGCACAGGCGGAGATGGTGGAGGCATAACGAGCAAAGGTGGAGATGGCGGAGGCGTAGCGGGCAGAGGCACAGTTGGCAAAGGCATAGCCGGCGGAGTAGTAGTTGGTTCCGTCCCTGACTTGAGGCAAGGCACATTGGGCACAATGGTGCCAATGGAAGTTCCAATAGCATTGTTGCAAGAAGCATAAATCTTCTTATCAGGAACCGCCGAGGTGATTTTGATGCGGTCCATTATAATGTTGCGGCAACCTGAATTCTGGTCACAATCTAATTTGATCGCCTCCTCATTCGCAGATGTTCCTTCAAAATCAATGTACTTCACATCTTCCACCAACAGAGCCGAGGCCTGACTTTTACAGTTGTGATCCTGATTACAATAAAACTGGTCAATGATGATGGGATTTTTAGCTGCATCGAGTGTGATCTTCTCAAAGGTTATGTTCTTAGCGTACCCCGATCCGCCCTGCCATGTCTTGATCCTAGCTCCATTTGTAGTCCCACTGAAACTACTATCTCTCACGTACACATTTTGCACTTTCTCAAGAGCCCCATGCGCTCCCAAGCTTCCCACACTGTTGGCAAAAGAGAATTTTAAGTTAATAAGACATCACAAGCGAACTGTTTTGAATAAGGATTTATGTTAAGGACTACGTACCTAATACCATGACCCGGCCCGCACGCAATGTTGGCGATGTTGAGATCGGAGCAGCCACCGTTGATGGCTATGCAGTCATCGCCGGTTCCGATAGCAGAGTGTTGAATGAAGACGTTGTGTGAGTTTGAGATGTCAATGCCATCAGTGTTTGGACTGTCTTCAGGTGCGGTTATGGTGAGATGAGACACGTACACATTGTTGCACCCGCTTATGGCAATGTGGGCTCTTGCGCTGTTTAGATGAGTAAGTCCACTTAGTTTAAGATTATCGCATCCCTGGAAGTGCAGAGCCTGCAGTAACATTCAATTTAGTAAACCCAAATTCAGTATAAAAAAATAAAAATAAAAATTAGTTTTAATTAAATTAATTTGAAAAATAAAAAATAATCCATACATCTGGTGCTTGGCAATTCTGCTTATTCATCATGAGTTTGCGTGATAATCTGTCGTATTGGTTGGGAGTGGTCCACCAAGATGAACCCTGGCCGTCGATTTCTCCTGAACCATCGACTACGAGATTGCCCACGTCCTTAAACTGGAGCCAATCTGAATTTGATTCACACTCGGTCCATCCATCCAGCATTTTAGGTGCCACCAGTTTGCCCATGATCTGCTCACCACACGGAAAGGAAAAAATTAATTAATTTTTAATTTTTAATTAAGTAAGAATAATCATTTAGTTGAAATGAGATAAGAATAAGGGTTAACTACTCAAACGTGGACTCCAGGTGGCTTCTTTTTGCTGAAGTGGACTCCAGGTGGACTTAAAATTATTTTTAAAAATAATTAAAATTTTAAAAACAAAACCAAAAAATAATAAAATAACCAAAAAAACCCAGCACCTCCATCGCAACCTCACCCACTCCCCATCCCAAACCTCCCCCCTCCGCCGGAATCCACTCTCTCTCTCCCCCCGTCTTTTTCTCTCTCTTCCCGTCTCTTCCTCTCCTCCGAGGGCAGTGGCGATGCGAACGTAAGGATCTCCGATGGGCAGTGGCGACGACGACGACGACGACGACGATTGAGATTGGGATTCCGGTTCGGATTCGGGTACGAGTGGTTGTTTTTCCATTTGCGGCGGCGACAGTGTTTTTTGGTTTTTGTGGGAGGGGGAAGATTTTTGGGTGATAATCGGATATTTGATGACATTTAATTGATAATCCTACGGCTGGGGTGAGGGGAGAGTGGGGCGGGGTTGAGTTTTTAACTTTCTTTTTTAATTTTGTGTTATTTTATTATTTTACTTGTTAGATTTTAAATTTACGTTAAATTGTACTATTAATTATCTTTAAAAGATAAAGATTTTTTTTATTAATTTTTTAGTCTGTATCAGCCAGAAAGATGGGAGCCTATGTTTGCCACATTATCATTTAACAGACCAATTAACGATATAATTAATGGAGTGATTAATTTATAAGTTTTTCATGAATTTTGGTATCTACATGCAAAATTGTTAAAATTGAGTACTAATTTGAAACGACCCCAAAATTCGGTTACTTTTTTGTAGCTAACCGAAATAAGATAAGAATAATAGTTTGATGGTTTAGTTACCTGAACATGAACACTAATTGAGTTGCAAGGACCTTGAAACTTGATGGGCTGCAATAAGAATGCTTTCATCTCTGGTATAACAAGTGTTGGCACGCCATTAGGTTCATCTGCTGCTCCACACAACTCTCCCCATGCTTTTAGAAAAGCCTGTATTTGCAAAGTGAATAACCCATAAGTGATTGCTCCTTTTAACTTTAAGACAATGGAAAACAAATCATGATGGCATGTTAATGTTGTCGAATTATCCATCCAGAACCATTAATAACACGAACATGTATCTTGTGTGAATATGCGGTTTAAATTCAAAGGTTGACAAAATTAACACGTCAAGCTATTTAACAAACGAACATTACTCGAAATACCTTGACACCTGCATTAAAAAAAAGTAAATTACCTTGGAATCGTCAGTTTTTCCGTCTCCAGCAGCACCGTACTTGAGAACATCGAATGTTCTTTGGCAATGTCCAAAACCAATCCAGAATATCAAAATCAAAACAAGTATGTTCTTCATATTGGTCACGAAACAATGAAGAAGAAACAAAAGGAAGCTAACGGGCACTAGAACAGAAGAATCACAATAGTAATAGTTATATATGATAGTAGAGCGTAACATATATATAATATTTTCAGAGGGTTCCTAGTTATAATAAGTTTTAGGTTTCAATTAGGAAATTAGTTTTCCTTTTCTAAATTATGAACGTTGATTTTACCCGCTTTAGCATGGAACATTATTATTCCCTATGTATATAAGGATTTAAGGATTTAATGCTAGAAAACCTTGTAGCAGAAGGATTTAAGGATCCCACCACCTTGTTCTTCAACAAAAACCATAATCTGCTATCTACCGATATATAATAATACAAAATGTAATGCACAGTACATATACCGTATACGTAACATATTATACTGTATAGATTCATATCTGAAGTAGCTCATTAGCTATAACCAAACCATCTTGTGGAAGCAACTATCTCGATGCAAAGTCCCCCTCACTCTACAACAGACACTGTTATTAATGGCATTATACTGCACTTTCACCATATTCCTATAGAAGATAAGCAGCGGTTCAGCACTGGCTGACCAGAACAACTGCTATAAGAAGAAACAAAAGCACTGTGCGCGGGCGTTGCAAATTGGAGCGGGAGTCTGAATCGCTCAATTGATTTTATTTTTTTTTTGTTTTTTTTGTTTTGTTTTTTGTTTTTTGAGGAAAAAAGGTAAATTATATAAAAGACTTACCAACTCAATAACTAATTATGATTACTTTTACTATTACACGAAATTTGGCAGTACCACTAATTCGACCCAAAAAATAAAGGAAATAAAAAAAGTCTTAGAATTGGAGGTTCGAATCGAAAATCACGGGATTAGATCTTGTTGGCATAAGCTATGAGAATTCTAGGCTACCTAAAAAAAAAAGAAAGTCCAACAAATGTACATGATAGCGCAGCCATTAGCATTTTCTTCACTAAATTAAGTATAAGGATCCATTGGTTACTCTTGCTGTGATGGCACTGGCATGTTGTTGTTATTCATATCATTATCATTCCAGTTTGCTCTCCATTCATCCATCCTCATCGCCGGCATCGTATTCATGTATTGCCCTTGGTTTTGGTTACCCTGGTTTGAGCTTCTGTGGGAAATTAATTAAATGCCAAGTTATCGACTTTGTGTTCGTATCTGTTCATTCCACAGTTCACATCTGTAAGGTGCGTTGCATGCTTTTATGTTCTGGGCTCATATAAGTGTAACAACTATTGTTGTTAAGAAAATATGATCTTGGAACTGAAACACATTTCGTTGTTGTAACAACTATTGCTATTGCTATATGAATTTCTAGCTTCCTGTTAACGGTGGTGCATATTGCCTTGATCGTTCAATTTTCCCCTTTATCTTTTGATAAATCTAAACTACGTCTTATGAACCCTTTACAAAGTCTGATTTCGATGACATGCTTGCTTACGAAGCAAACAATTTGCCCGTGAACCCTAAGCCTCAAGTGGCATGGGCAGGGTTAAGGGTAGATCGTAGATTCAAATCCCCTTGTAACCAAAAGAAAAATCAAACTAACACATAGATCTTCTCCGGGAGAAAACCTGGACATAACAGAACTGATTTCTGACTCATAACAAGGTTTCTCTGCTCTGAAATGCAAAGAATTGACTTGTCCAATATGCAACCTAGTTACACAGCAGTTTGTCAAGAAATGAGTCGCTGCCATTGGAAATGAAGCTTAATGGAGGTTATAGACGTGGCCATTGAAATTGGCTCTACAAATCATATGTTACTATCCACAGGACCACCACCAGTCAAAGACCATCTTTATATGAAAAATCACCATTGTTGGCCCAGATACCTTTTAGAAGTGTTAACCACTCAGAAAACACTTGGTCAAGTATTGTTCTGCCAAGAAGGGCACACGGCAAACGCATAGAGGTTCAACCAACAAGTAACAAAGACATCAGGCAAAAAAGAGTCCAAATGCTAGGTAGGCATGATGAAGTAAAGAAGGGGTAGGTGATTAAGTAAAGATGGCATCGAGGCTTTGGACTATGAAAAGCAAATCTGGAAGAGATACAGGAAATTTGAGACCATAACTTGCATAGAAGAACAGAAGGGAACATCTTTGGAGAAACCTAACTATGAGCAAATGAGGAATCATGTAGGGCTGGAACAAGGTCCATGACATAACATGTAGGTTTAGAACAAACCAAATGTTTGAGATTAGTAGTGACGAGAAACGAATGGTAATAGCAACCGGACCAAATGAGATAGATGAGGAATCATGTAATACAGCATCTATCAACAGTAGAAGAAGGCAACCTCTAAGCAAATTCAACCTGTAATGCGGCATTATAAATTAAGAAGATAATTTATTAAATGAAACAAGATTTTGTATATATTATCCTGACCTGTATAAGCTCACAAAATGTACCCTAGCTTCTTTGCCTCCACCACCACAAGAAGTAAATTGAACTCTTCAGGATCTCCCTATGTATATACAACCTTGTTTTTCAACAAAAACCATTTTCTGCTATCTACCAATATATAATACAAATTTAATGCACAGTACATATACGTTACATATTCCACTGTATAGATTCATATCTGAAGTAGCTCATTAGCTAACCAAACCATCTTGCGGAAGCAAGAAACAATCTCGATACAAAGTCCCCCTCACTGCTCGATAAAACTCCACCCATGAAGACGAGTACACATCCGCAGGACCCCACAAAAACGTCAGGTTAGGACTAGGAGGGCATGCTGCCACTAAATCTAACACTGATGCAGCTGGTTTGAGCTTCTGCGGGAAATTAAATGCCAAGTTATCGACTTTGTGTTCATATATTTTTCCTTTTCGATCTAGTTTATATCGCGAGGTGCCCTGAAACTGACCCTGTGCTTCCCATGGAACCCGAGGAACACCCTTCATGTTCCACCTTATCAATATCACATTCTCTGAAGGCTGCCAAATCCTATAAACCTCAAGTGAAATGTCACGGAACAGAATCTTGCCATGAAATCTCAATGCCCAGAAGATCAATTTGTAATTCTCAATGCCAGTGAATGTGTTCAAGGGATCCGTAAATGTTATATCATCCCTGAAAATCACCAAATTTCACAAATGAATCCTATCAAATGTAACTCTACATTTTCAATTAAGGGTTTAACAATTACAGGAAACTCATCAAATTTCATAGAAGATTACAATCAATTTGCAATTTTTCTTTTTGGGAAAACGTGTTAAATTGGTATAGCTTTTGAGTACCATGTATTTCCCAAAACTATCAAATTTCTTAATGAAGTTTTAAACTTTCTGATAAATCAAGCACTATCAAAGAAAATTCAAGATACCCAAATGAGAAAATTACCTATAAATGTCATAATTAAGGTCTTCCGCGAAAATTAAAGGGATGTCTTCACGAAGAGTGCGTACAGCAACGCCAAGATTGACATAAAAGTCATCTCTTTGCTGCTTATCCTGCGCAACCCTGGAGGTGTTAAGCTGTGCCCCTTCCAACAAAGTGGGTGTCTGCAGGCTGGCCAGAGGAGAGAGATGAGAGAAACAAAAGCTGGGTTTTGTCAGAGAAAGTGTCTGGTTCATGGGTTTTTCTTTTGATTTGGTTTGGAGGAGTAGAGAGGGAGAGAAATTTGGTAGAAGAAAAGCCATTGCCTTCTTTGTTATCCTTCAATTTGGAGTCTCAGTTTCAGCTTCTCATGTGAAAAGCTCTAGAGATAGAAAAAGAAGGATGGTTTTGTGTTCTGCGTATTGTGCTTGGTGTTTTGTGTGTTGTGTGTATTGCTGGTTGGAACAGAATTAGCATTTGATTTTTGGCGTTGATATATGAGTGGTTTTGAACATGGCCATGAATATGTCTTTTGTTCTGATTGGAAAGCGCTTGAAAGTGGACCAGGTGAAAAACCCAAAACTTGTGGCTCTTGCACTCTTTCCCCCCCTCGACTTTGGTGTATTTCTTTGACATCAAAGACATGGAAAAATATCTTCTTGCTATTGAGCCCCTTTGTTCTCCTACAAGTACAAGTGCTCTGTTGGCATCTAAAAACTTGATTTTCAACCTCTTTTTTTCTTTTCAACTTTCAATTGTATCCTTATTCATTCAACAAGGAAAAATGAAAACCCGGGCCTGTTTGGTATTCAACTTGAATCCAACTTTTTATACTCAAAAACAAAATTTTAGTCCAAAACAAAGAAAATCTATTTGGTAGCCTTATTTTTAAAAATTCAAACTCAAGAACAACTAAAAAACATCTCAATTATTAAAAACAAAAAATATATATTTTTCAATTTTTTTCTAACAACCCACAAGTTCTCAAATTTTTTATATTTAAAAATAGTTTTCAAGTTGCATACCAAACAAGTTTTTGAATCTTAAAAACCGATTTAAGAACTCCTTGTTTTTAAGAAAAATTAAAATTTTTGAATTCCTTATTTGAATAAAATACCAAACGCCCCCTAAACTTCTCTAACTGATCCCTTTTGATAAATATTTTAAGTTAGAAGAAATGAGAATTTTCCACAAGGAGATTGTTGCACGTTTCATTCTTGAATATTCAATTCAAACTCATACTAGTATGAAGTCGTGGCCAAAATGCGTCGTTTTATTTAAAAAATTAAAATAAAAATGAAAGTAAATTTGGTCACTACACCCTTTAGTTTGGTAAGTAAACTAGAAGAGATCTTCCTTCAAAATCAAAGGCTCTCTCTCGCTATCTAAATGTAATTTCTGGTTGGATACTAGGATAATGGGAATCAAAGAAGATAATGAAATCTTATCCCAAGACCAAAAATCTAAGTTAAGTTAGAAGTGTATTATTAAACGGATGTCTATCAGAGTGGGCTCATGCCTAATTGTCTGCCTTAGTTTGATTGCGAATGGACACGGAACGGAAGGGTTAGAACCAGTTAGATAAGGCTGCTTTTTTCTAAGAATGACAAAACAATGCAAAAGGTTAAAAACCCCTTGCCAAGAATCTTCCATTCAGAAAGCACATTCCTTTTAGGATATACCCGCTTTGTTCCTTTTAATCCAATTTCTCATTGCCAGTGGGAAGGGAATAGCGTAGTTGTTGAGCTATTCCATCTCTACTCATATAACAGAGGTTCGAAACTTCCACATACCTAATAAATATTTGTATAAACCTCCTCCCCCAATCTAACAGAGGTTCGAAACTTCCACGTACCCAATAAATATTTGTATAAACCTCCTCCCCCAATCGCTTATAAAAATTTATTTAAAAAATCAGTTTCTCAAAAGGCTGGCACCTTGCACTCTCTCACTTTTAACATTCGCTGTGTGTTAGTGTAGGGAAAAGTTCAAGAAAAATCTTTATTGAACTATTATTGTAATATTGCAATCGACTAGTTTTTTTTTTACAAATTTATAAATAAACCCAATCCTACACATGTATTTATAAAAAAACCCAAGCACTATTTAAACATAGAAACACACCCAAAATCAACCCCAAAGTCAACTTTTTGGGTGTGTTTATAAATGGGTTTTGAGTGTGTGTAATGATGGGTTTTGGGTGTGTTTATAAAGTGTTTTGGGTGTTGGGTTTTTTTTATAATTTCAACCTCCATTTTGGGTGTTTTAGTGAAACTCCCTTTTTTTTTCTGGTTAATTGCAATTTATTTCTCTTTCTTTTGGTGTTTTTACAAACATAGGTGAAATTCATTTTTTCTGAGTTTCTCTTATCATCAAATACTAGAAACCATCAATTTCATTATTTAGGAGCACTTGTTCTGTAAACTTCAACCAATTACCCGTAAATTTCAGAAGAGTGATTGTTCTCTAGGATTTCCAGATCATGCATGGGTGCTCACCAGTTTCTCCAGCCCGATCATGGATCACTGTCTCTGCATTTCTTATGCCCTGTCCAGGTTTGGATGCCAATGGATATGAAATCCTAGTTTTCTTATGCAATTTGTTAATTTAGAACCTGATCTTGGAAATCAAATGGTCATAAATATCCCAACAATCACTACTGTCATCATTGACACTAAAACTTGCACAATACAACGGACTGATAGTTTGAACTAAAATACTTGAATGTGGGAACATCTGAATGCATAAACCTTAGAGGAAAAAGGCAAATGTCAGAATCTCAACTCCCAAGAATCTCTCTTGGCAACGTACAGCACTGAAAACCCTATAGCAATAAGAGCATCAGAGACTCTAATTTGTTGCCTTATATGACCTCCCGCCTAGCGCCGCCTAGCGGCTAGGCGCCGATTTGTCGAACACGTTAAGCAGTGAATTGAAAATTGGAAGTTGGATCTATAACTCTGAATGTAGGAACATCTGAATGCATAAACCTTAAGAAAAGAAAGGCAAATGCCAGAATCTCAGTTCCCAGAATCACTGTTGGCAACGTACAGCACTAATAACGCTATGAAAATAAGCGAATCAGAGACTCTAATTTGTTGCCTTTTTCATAGCAAATCCAACAAACCCAACACAAATTCTTCAACAAGAACACCCATCTAAAAAAGATAACAACTTTACCCAAAATCAACACAAAATTTTCATCAATGAAAATAAGAAGGCTCAGAATGTAAAGTTAAGTTGGCATCAACAAGCCCCAAAAAGAGAGCTTTCATAGTTTGATGGTATACAGATTTAGTCATCACTGCCTCTCCCACACACCAGAAATTAAAAGAAAAGAAAAACAGAGGAAAACAGAAAATTTTAAGAAGAGGCCTCAGAAGCTAGTGATAGAAACATCAAAGATTATCTCAGATGGTACGGACAATATCAAAACATCACAGGCCAAATTTTATGAAACAGAACAAACACACATAACAATTGCAAGGGTAGCCGAGGATGGCCGAAAGACGGAGAGGCTGAGACCTATGCTTAACTGAGAAAACTTGGTTGATTTGAAGCGACGTCTCGAGGTGTGCTTAAATAGTAGGGAGAAGAAATCATCAAAACCCTAGTAGTGTTAAATTACCATGATGTCCTTGGTTGGGATGGGTTGGGCTGGAGGTAATTAGGAATTGGGTTAAGGAACTTGTAGCCCATTTTAGAAATTAGAGGCCCAGTTCTTGTTTTAAGTAAAATTACTGCAACCCACATTAATCCAGCTTCATACTTGTCATTTAAGTAGGGATCACTGACCTTACTGATATTATCTCCACAAAATCGTTGTCGTGCAACTAGCTCAATTCGTTTAGAGCATTTATCTTGAACATTCTTGTTTGTATAAGTCAAGTGTCTTGAAGAATTAACCCAACCATCATGGGCGATTTTCTTTTTCTTTTCGGAAGGTTGAATTAAGAGAATGAAAATATAGCATATTTTAGTGACTTGACACATTGGCCCTTGTTTTTAGTTCTCATGTTCCTAGCAACCTCTTAGGCATGACAGTGTTGTGAGTTGTTGCCTTGTGTATAGTAGGAGATGAGTTGCTTGACAAACAATGGAGAGGTTGAATGACTTCCTGTGCAGATAAGTGAATTAAGTTTCCCTCTTCCTGCGCATGCAGCTGTTTGTTTAGACATTTTAATTAGATCCGATCTTTTTTATGATTGGTTGCAAAAATTATTTGGGAAGATTAGCATAATTGGACTGAGTTTGTATGTGGCTCATCACTTTAACATACACAAGCACAACGAAAAACAGAAGTGTTGAGGTTGCTTCGTCAGATAATGTAATTGGTTCCAAGACTAAAAGTTGAGGAACTAAAACCATAAGAAAGGTAATGCCATAAAGTTATAAAACATTTCGCAGATTTAAAAACTGTGTGCTCTGGAAAAGCCTGCTTGTAGCTCCACTACCACCCTCGTCATACATTGTTCTTGTGTTCTGGCCTGTGAGTGAACTCAAAATCGATATGCACAAAAGCCCGTTCGACTTCAGGGAGTTGCTCGAGCTTCTCCTGGAGAGTCTCACCAATGTTGTGTGCTTTGTTCAGAAGCATATCTTCTGGCAAGACAATGTCAACCTCCACAAAGTAATGAGAGCCAAATGTGTATGCTCTCACTGTGTCAATGTGCCTGATCTCTTCATGGTGGTTCCATATCAAATAAGTTAACTTAGCTAAGAAGTCAGGCGGGGCTGTTCTTCCGATTAGCGAATGCACATTCTCCAAAACTGTCTTTGCCCATGTATTAATGGTATATAGTGCTATCTGCAATGTGTTCAAGAACGAACCAACGTTAATGAATAAACATAATAAATCATATCAGAGGGAGTGAAACTCGTTATGATGATGAAAGGACTTACAACAATAGCACCAGTAGGATCAATCCACCAGAAAAACCGGACGGCTAAGACTGCTGCTGCTAAACCAACTGAATTAGTAATAACATCGAAAAAATGGTCTTGTGCATAGGCCCGTACAATTTCATTTTTAAATCTGCGACAGTAGACCATGAGAACAAACTTCACTACTGTGACTGAGGCCATGATACCGATCATCCACATCTCTTCCTTAAATTTCATTTTTTCTGGCGGTGACTGCACCCAGAAAATGATACAACGGATATAGAAACAATATTAATTACAAAACAAGCTAAAAATGAGATCCACATAATGAGCCAATATATAGATTGACAAAATTTGGATATGTAGAAATAACGAATTTCAAACAGGATCATGAAATTATGACTTATAGTGAAAATCCAACTCTGTTAATCCCACGATAAAAAATTTGACCAACATATTTAGATTCTGATTTTCATGATTGCTTGGCTGCCAGCATCAAGATATTGCAAGGAATCACCAGTTTAGGTTGAGTTTCTACAGAGGAACATATGGTTGAGTTTTTGAAATGTCTAAAATATTCTCTACACACTTAGTATGAGAACTATAGTCTAACCGTTGACTGCAAAGAGATGTTATAGCTTAACAACATACAGTAAGTGAAATGTGAGGACGTCATTAAAAATTGTATTACATAATGCAGCAATAAACTAAGAAACCATTGTCATTCTCAAGTTGAAGTTTAAAATATCATTTCTTCTTTCCCTTGTTGCATACTGGTGTTATTTACTCACCCATACAGGGAAATAATACTATGTTAAACTCACTGATCCGGAGTCTGAAACCTGACCAGATTTAAGTTGGAGTGGGGGAAAAAAAAGGGTCACTTGCCTGTGAGATGAGTTCCCGAGCAGACTCGAGCAATATTTGCAGTCCAAGAGTTGCCATTACTGATGCAAAGACAATGATACCCTGTATGATCAAGCATAGTCAGTAGAGATATACAAAAAAGAGGAACGGGCTAAGAGATAATGACAAACAAACTATTTTCAGAATTGACATGGTTAGAAAGCTTGATGACTTACCACTGGTTGCATACGTTTCTTCCCAATAGGATAGTGATACTGGTTTGGATTTTTCATGGCATGGGCAGTGAACCACAAAATAAAGCCAGACAAGAGATCCAAGAGGGAATCCAATGTAGAGGCAATAACTGCCAATGATCTGCTCATAATTGAAGCATACACTTTTGCTGCAAAAAGCACCAAATTAGCTATGTTTGATACATGTACTGCCATCCTCTCACTCTTCGCTAGCTGCTTCATTTGATCCTGAGAAGAAATGAATTCAAAACACAGGAGTTTAATTGGGAATTTTTGCAGGAAGTGCCATGCCATGAGAAACAATGACTGCATGAACGTCTTCTTGTTAACCAAGCTCATGCACTTAAATATTTATGTAGAGAAAATAAATGAACGATTATGTTGAAATATTATAACATATAGCTCTGTTCTGTGAAACTAACGACAGTTCAATTTTTTCCCCTGTATCGCCAAAATAAGAATTCATTAAAGTATCAAAAAAAGTTAAATGGGATTGGCTGCTAAAACTCAGGTAGCTTCTGCACCCTCTTCCTCAAAATTGAACTAAAATACATCAAATTTTACAAACTTAAAATAAAGAATTATGAAAGACAATCTGAAATCTACAACTCAATAAAACGAGTGGGAATATAGACATTTTGAACCAACCTCTGTAAGACTTCCTGGCAAACAACCCTCTTCAGTCATGGTCTCCATCTCAGTGAACCCCTCAAGAAGCCTTTCTTGTTGCTTGTAATATTCTTCAACCTTGTATTGTTTCTCTACATTCAAAAGCCCAAGAAAGTTATTAATGAAGCCTATGAAATTATGGAGTGAGAAGGAGAAAGGATGAAAGGCCAAAAAGATAACGGAAGTGTCCTGGATTATCATATACTGATGAAACCGTTGCAGGTAAATTCAGCATGAGGCACATAAAATTTAAGAAAACAACTGAGAAATCCAATCTAATATTAAACCTGCAAGCACTTCAATAACTTATCTTTTAGAGGCAATTAATATTGGAATGTTTGATGGAAAACATACTCCAACAAAGTTGCTCAGTACTCCGAGTTAACATAAACATACCAATAATTTTGCACAGAAATCTTATTCCATTTCCTGATCGAACACAAAACTATTCACTAGAAAGGTGTAAATTTCTTCAGCAAACTATACAAATTAGAATGGAACTCATGAAACGAGTTCAACATCAGTTTTTTCACTTGACTAGTAGAAATCTGGAATAAAAAAAACTCCCAGACTTCTCTAATTGATAGCAAAATTTTGACCAATATTTTTATACTTTCATTCTAAATAGCAAAAAGGACTGGTCTTTCAGGCCAGTATAGAAGACAAGACTTCCTCAGACTGGAAATAAATTATTTGAGACGTGTGAATGAACACAACCATTTGCACACTCAAAATGAAGTACAACAAAAGACAAACTTCTGCAGATAAACACCAACTTTAGCATTTAAGAATTAATCACCCTTTAATTCATTCACTAAAGCTTTTTTAAACAAAAGATCTTCGCTTTCAACAACATCCCGGTTTTTTATTTCTTCACACAAATTCAAAACCCAACTCTTCAAAAAGCTTGGAACTTTCAACCACCACCCAAAAATCCTTTTCCTCTCAAACTTTTCTTTTCTTTTAAGAAAAGAACGAACAGAGTGAATTGTGATGGTAACTCCAAGATTCAACCTTTACTTTACAACACCAACAGAAATATCAATATCATCCACTTCAAATGCAGGGCAAAACAAACACATGGAGAAAGATGGGTAACAATAATAAAGATGAACAGAAGGCTTACTGGAGGTGCAGCAGAGGCGATGGAGAGCAAAACGACGCCGTCCGTTGTCATGGTCTGCAGTTGTTGCAGTGCTCTGCTGGGGTAGCCGAAACTCCTTCACATCGAGTCTCCACGAGGACCTTCCGGGTACGGCGTCGTCTTGTGACACCAGAAGCGGTTCCATTCTGTTGTCACTAGGGCCTCCAGAACTGGGCGGACTCTTGTCCATTTTGCGCAAACAAAAACGTTTCTTGAATATATAAAAACGCTCTTGCGTATTGAAATCAAAACGTTTCTTGTAAAACTGTTCGTGTGTGAATGTGTCTCTTTTGGTTTTGGGAGACGCAGAAAGTTTCTCTCTTCTCCGGAATGCCAACTTACAGTTTGTAACCACCTCCGCTCAATACGTGGAGAGAACTATGAATTTCTGATATTTACGGTCTTTTTTAAATATTGCTGCTACAGGTATCTATCTATCTTTTTTTATTTATCATATATTCATATATCTATCTATCTATATTTTTTTTTCCCCCAAGTTAGAAGGGAGAATGGGAAAAACTCACACACACGAGTACTATAGGGGCTTGAATCCAAGACCACCACTTAGGAGCGCATCAAAGGTTTGGGCCAATCTAAACTAACACCTGTTTGTTTTTATATCTATATATAGATACAGAGAATAATGAAACACTCTGTCTTTTACTTTATATATATATATAGATTCAAAATATCACAAAATACTCATAATTAATGAAGATAATTATAAATAAATAAAAATATCCATTAAACGAGAATAATATAGGAAATTAATATTATTTTAACTAAAAACAAGATGAGAACACGGGTCCTATTTTTATGGAACACAACTAAACTTACTTTATGTTTCTTATATTTAAAATATGAAAAGTAAGATATAAAAAATTCCCAAGAAAATAAAAAGGTTAAAATGTTAAAGCTCAAAAGGGAAAGAATAGAATATTTGATTTTGTGGGTGACGGTGAAATGAATGCATGTGTCATATGTGAATTTTCCTCCTTAGTATGTTTGCAGTTGTGTGCCATTTTCAGAATTTTCCAACGAAGCTTCCCTTTGTCAATGGCCAAAGTCCAAACAAAAGCCACTTTCAGAAGGAATAAGTTTTTCGGTGAATGCACTTTTGCATAGTCACCCACACACCCAAAAAAAAAGAAAAAAAAAAGGGAAACAATCTTTCCTTCGCTCTCAAGTTATATTACAACTACATATTTCATTTAGATACGACTCTAGGTCAGGGTCGGGTGATGATGTTTGATTGACAAGAAATCTCCCATTATCACAATTCGGCCAATGCCATTATCACAATTCTGCCAATGCCATTATCACAATATGCTCACAAGTATGCAACCACTTACCGTAAAAAGAATGCTCTAATAATTAGAGAGATCCTTGATCATTACGTACAGGCGATGCGGCCTACTTGTTTGGGATTCGGTACTGTTTCAGGTGGCATGACTTTCTATATGAAGGTCACAAAGGTCGGCAGTCAGTCTCCATGAAGAGGCAAAATGAGAGACATGGGAGTCGGGGAAGGCGGAGATGGGGATGAAGTCTCGTGTTTAATTTGTGCAGTATATTCATGCATGGAACATATAATCACTCTTGGCATTGTCAGCATACGTGTCCAGGTTTCTCTAGCCACTTGTTGACTCCTCATGACTCGAGATGCCCATCTAATTCATGGAAAACAAAAAGAATTATAAATAATAAAAAGAATTATATAATGGATATGCTCTGATATTGGGATTTTCGGTTTCGAGCGACTTGGTCAAGTAATGGGATTGGACATATTTATACATTGCTTTACGAAAGCATTATTTAAATTAATCAAGGTATATTGTAATTTTCAAGATAACTTGTATGGTGGTTGCTGCTTTTGTAGGCACACATAGCTCTTGGACAGCTATATATAGGCTAGCCTAAAGTGCTGTAGTTGATATCTAGAGGAGAAAAAAATATATATATATATATATGTAAATTCAACAGTTCACTCACTCACTCTTGCACTCCTTTTAAGAAACTTTTTTGAATCGTTAGATTAACATCCAACGATGAGTGACCACAAATCTCTTGGACCCCTGTGATCCAAGATATCAGGGCTAATATACATATATAACTTATATTGAGGGACATCTTTGTAGAGCCTATTTCGTATTGTATTTCACTAATCTAAATTGTCTATTTTGTAGATATTAATTGAAAGATCATCTCTACAAAAAATTACTTGAATCTAATATTATTTGACAACTTAACTAAATTATTGAAGTTTTAGTACTTCCTTAAAACACTGTATTTTTTGATATTGTAGGACACAATTGGATATCGAAACGGGTTCCAATTTGTCTAATTTTTTGCAAAAATGGTCTATGAATGTAGACTTAACAAATAAATGGTTTAAATTGTTGAAAAAATATTTGTAGAGAACCCTAAAAAGTGTCCCTCAAATAAAATTATTTGAAGAATCCCTCAATAAAAAGAGACTATATGTATTAATCGACCAGAAAAACAAAATATTGCTTGCCTGCAATGGATGCGATATTCAAATAATTCATAGGAACAATCTAAGAGGTTAGTGGAAAACCTTGAGATGATATTAAACAATGAGATATGTTTTCCACTTGGAAAAAAAGTATGGTTTAGGTGAGGTGCAGCCAAAGCCCGACAAATATAAAGTTTTTGGTGATCGAAAGAATATTATATAGTAATGTTTGAAGATTATCTTATATCCCATTTACATGGCTGGGTAGGAAAAAGTTGGCCGATCCTTTGATAAAGATTCAATCATGCAGAAGCACAAATTAATATGTTATTTGTTAGTGTCACACTTTTTCAATCTGGATGCCTCGTCATACTCAAATACTTGGTCAAAAATAGTGAATTATATTAAGCGATTTCTATTCCTACTCAAATATTTGAACCATTTTTTCCCTCTCGTTTATTATGATTCTTTTTTTGTTTTTTTTTTGTGGAAGTTTATTATTGATTTTGAAAATATTTTTCGGGATAAGTCTATCTCAATGATTTTTTGTCGACATAGACTTACTTAACAAATTTACTTTTATGTCGACAAACGTTTGTTGGGATAGACTTATGCCCGTTTTAAAATTTAATTTTATAAACTTTCTTTGAGCATGAGACTCCTTTCTTGAGAATATCATGTGCACCAATTTGGCGAAAGCAATGGGAATAGGATGTCCAACCACCCACTAAACAGTGCCATTACCTAATTTAGGAGAAAGTACACATGAGATATCCCGTCTTTATTTGTCAGGAGTTGATATCCACGTTGGTTCATTTAGATTAGAATTATAAACCTTAGTCAACTATAAGTGTATGTGAAGTTGGCTCAAGAATGCATACTCTAGAGTGACCTCATTTAGTGTTTTTTTTTATAATATATATAAGCGATGTTAAAGGAGGAGTAATCGTATCTAGAATCTTAAATATATGGTTAAATATTCTTAACCAATTAAACTATAATTCTTTTGCGATTTCGTTTAGTGTTAAGTATAATACGGCAAAAGTCGACTACATGTAGCACATAGTTTTATGATTTTCCCAAAAGCCTAATGTTTGGAATTCAATAAAACTTAAGGAGTAAGTGATCGGCTCATAATTCCATATGTTTTTAGCCATTTGATGTGACAAATATCAAATCAAATGGGTGATCATTTGTTCTTCTATAATGCAGAAGCGAATGAGTGTAAATGTTTACCCATTTGCAAGAGGCATAGTATATGGCACCCAACCAAGCGCCATGATTGACTTGCTTCCCACTAGAAAAGTTTAAACAAGAATATGGCGGAACCTGCAACATAAATGAAGGATGCATTAAGGCCAATTGAAGAAACTAGATAAAGTCACACATGCTTTACATACTGACGATCAGCCACAATCCAAACACAACATTGCACGGGAAAGCCAATTATTTGGACATTTTGTGACACATTAAACATGATGAAACCCAAAAAGTACTTACTAAATGTCATTTAACTTTTTGCTCCCGAACTTACTTCAACATTAAACGGGAGTGTGTTAGTTTTTTCTTCTTCTATTTTCCTTTTTTTTTTATATATAATAAAAAATAAAATAAAAGGAGTATTACTAAACAATAGCTATTTGGGCATTGGGGTGTGTTGTGATCTATGCCTGAATATAAGGCTTGCGGCTTTTATGCCAAAATCTTTTTAGTCTTTTGTAGCTATATTTGGAGATACACTTTGGGCGCTTGTGTTGTCGGTGGATTTCCTCCTTATTTGAATTAACCCTTTGAGCCCTTTGAATTATAAATGCATTATCGCCTTTATCTCAAGAAACCAATAAGCTATTTCATCATCTATAAGTAGATTACATAATATTAGAATAAATATTTGTTATTTTATTAAAATGCTAATTAGTTATAACCCTTAATAATAGTATAGATACAATTAAATGTTAGGACATAAATGGTGTTTTTCTTTTTTTAGAATATATTATGTATTTCTAAGTAGTGACTGATTTAGAGATCAAATGCAATTTGAATTCATTAATTTTTTTCACCACAGAAATAATTAATTGTTTTTGCCCGGCAGCCTAATAGCCCACCCCAGACTTCTCAGCCGGGCCTGCTTAGAGAAATGGTTTCACTCTCTTCAATGGCCCATTTTTCATTCCAGCCCACCCGTAAACCCAGCCTTAACCCCTTCTTCCCTTCTCTTCTGATAATTCACAGTTCACATAGCTTCACCAGCTGCGCCACTGCCAGCCGTCCCATCCCGGGTCTCTTTTCTCTGTCATTTGAGCTCTCTTTTTTATTACAGGTAATGCCTCTATCGACTCTGTGTTCATTTAAGGGTTTGTTGATTCACTTTTTAATTTTGTATTTGTGTTATGATTTCTGTCAGTTTTGATTTTGATTTGGGTTTTTAGATTAAGTCATGTTTGTTTTGATTGATTGGCTGGATGGATATGTTATTGGTTAGCTTGGACCTATAAGCCTCTACTTATCTGCTTGTGTTTGCTAGTTCTTTAAATTGAGGTTTCTCTGCTATTGCATGATACTTTATCTGGGAGTTTTGTGCATTTAGTTTTCATTGGTATGCTTCACCAGATTTTGGTTACTGGGTGTTTTTTTTAATAACAAAATTCGGGTTCTTCATTTTTATTATTCTTATTTTGACTTCTCTTTCTTCTTCTGTCAAGTCCATACAAATACTATAATTGTTTGTTTTACATTGTATTGGAATTCAGTACTTGAACAAAAAGTATCATTCAACTTTCATGTACAATCAGGTTTTAGGTGAATTAAGGTCTATTCAAATTTGAGATTGAAAAAAAATAAGCTGCTTTAGCCTAAATTGCCTAAGGAAATGGCTGGTGGTCTGAAAGATGATGATACGGAAGAGTTTAAGGGTCTTCGAATCACCTCACTGGACGATGAAAGCGATGAAGAAGAAGAACAAAATGAACAAGATATTGTTATTGATGAAGATGATGAAGAAGAAGAAGACGAAGAAGCAAGAAACTCTGTGGTTTTAGGTTTTGTGAAAAAGCCTAAGACAGCCCGCTCTCTTCTTCGCCATTTCTTCCCTTCCAAGGCTGGAGGCGTTCCCGTATGCTATTAAACCCTTCAATTTATGTTTACTTACGGTTCAGACTTCTCTTTAATGGTGTTTTTTCTTTGTCATATAGGCTTGGTTGGATCCAGAAAATTTGCCATCCGGAAGATCTTGTTTTTGCGACATATGTGATGAACCTTTGCAGTTTGTGCTTCAGGTGAGTGATGATACTTGAATTTCATTGATGAAATTATATCTATATTTTGCCCTTTTTAAGCAATAAAAAGATGAATGGTTGTGATATTTAGTCTTTCTGATTATTGGGCTACAAGGTGTATGCACCAGAGGAGAAGCAATCTGCATTTCATCGAACTTTATTTGTTTTTATGTGTACATCAATGGTTTGTCTTCGTCGAGATCAACATGAACAATGGAAATGCCATCAGGACAAGCCTTCTAGAAGGTATTGTTCTTCCTGTTTTGTCTATAACTTTAGGGTTTTTTTGTTTCTGTTGTTTGTTTTTTTTTTTTTTTTTTTTTTTTTTTTTTTTTTTTTTTGTGTGAAGGTTTTCCGCTGCCAATTACCCCGTGATAATCCTTTCTACTCAAGTGAGCCACCAAAGAAGGATAGTACAGACCCGCCTCTTAAGGTTGGAGGTAGCATCTTGTTTAACTTTGCATTTAAAGTTGCTAGCTTTTGACCTAATTATTGCTTGATTGTTTAACATACAACCTTGCTTAGATATATTCAGTAAGCAGTCTTTACGTATTTAACATGTTCTGCCATGTAAGGGCTCTTTTGATGATCTTTTCCTATTGGTCTAGCTGCACTCTGTAATTGGTGTGGCAGCTGGAAGGGGATTAAACGCTGTACAGGTTGCAGAAGAGCACTTTATTGCTCAGAGAAACATTGGGTAATTTGATTTGTTAGGTTTCTGCTATGTTCTTTTTTTTTGCTTTCAAATAGCAACAGCCATCCCTAGAGATTACCAAATTTTTTCCTTGATTTGTAGGTCAAGCATTCTCGGACTGGTCATGAACATGATTGTCAACGATTGAGGATAAATTCTCAGTTGGCTGACAGTAGCTCTGATGAAACCACTCCTGCAGTACTTCTAAAAGGCACAGCGCTTTTTCCTTGTTATAGGAATAGAATAGGACTTTCTGAGAACCTGTATTTATGTATTTTTCATTTGTGAACAGTTGCAAGCAACAATGTATGGCCAGAGTACAAAATTATACAGGAGTCTGAAAGTTCATACGAGACAGATATGCCTGATGATACTGTATGCTCTAATTCCTTGGTGTCTAGTAACCGGACAGATGATGCACTAATGTCAATAGCTGAGAATTTTGAGGTATTAATCTTTGTTATCTCACAGTCTAACATTTATGTTATCTTTCTGTAGGCAGAAATGAAAGTTGTGTTCTCCACTTTTCTTCTTTTCTTTTTACCCCTGATAGAAGAAAATTCATGTTTAATTGCTTAAACTCTTACATGTTTATACCCCTGTAAAAGGGTGATGATGACAGAAAGAGCTGGGCTTCATTCCATGAGCGCATAGCCCTGGCACCTGAGCAAGTATTGAGGTTATTTATATTTTCAATAAATCATAACCACTATTTTCCTACACCCCATTTTACTTTACAAATTATGGATCAATTACTTTTTTTTGTTTCCACTTAATAGGTATTGTAGAATTCCTGGTGCAAAACCCTTATGGCCCGTGTCAAGTGGCCGTCCATCCAAGGCTGATATTCCTAAATGCAGTTATTGTGCCGGTCCATTGTGTTTTGAATTTCAGGTATTGGATCATGAATGTGATCTTGACAATTTTTTGTTATGGTTAAAGCCCAACTCAAAGTTTCTGCATTTTAATTTCTTTTATGCTTGCAGTTGCCATTTTCTTTCTAGTCGGTTTTTTGACTGTATGTAATTTGTTTGGCTTCAGATTATGCCACAGTTGCTATTTTACTTTGATGTGAAGAATGATGTGGACTCTCTTGATTGGGCTACAATTGCTGTTTATACATGTGAAGCCTCCTGTGATGCAAGTGTGGCTTACAAAGAAGAATTTGCTTGGGTTCAACTTTCTTAGTCATTTGGTTCCTTGCCAGATACTTTGTACCCCTAGATTAGGGGATATAGCTGTTCAAGTCTTGATATTGAATCAAGAATTGAGAAAATCGGAATGATAAGATTTTGATTGTGAAGAATTGTCACAGTTGTTTTGTTTTATGAATCGGAATGATGAGATTTTGATAATGTACCTCCATCATTTCACACGCACCTAGATTCCTGTATTCAACCTCAATTTTGTGTTTGCTTGTTAGAAGTGAAATAGACAGTTTTGTGTATGCCTTAGGGTTTGGATTCTTCTATTAAAAGCTAGTTTTCCCCTTCTCTTTTCTCATTTCCTTCTCTCTTCTCCTAACATTCTCTCCTCCCTCCAGCCATGTTAAAAGTTGTGATGCTCGTGGCTTGAGCACTGACCGGCGGTGTTCATGGTGGCAAAAACGGAAAACATCAAATGATGATTTTATTAACTTTTTCTTTAGGTGGATAAGAAGAGCAATCTTTGGGTTGAAAAAGAACCATCCATCCCAAATTTTTACTTTCTTTATTTTTTATCCGAACACGTTGAGGTTCAAGTAGCTCGAAATAAACATATAAACTTTATTCATACAGACAAGTAGTTCAATAACTGTGGCCTACTCTATGTTCAATTCCCTTCTTCAAATGTTGGGATTGATTTTTAATAATTGAAAAAAGAGCTAGTTCAAACAACACTTGGCTACTGTTCTTGTTCTGTGTTTCTTGATCATGAAGCCAACTTTGGCTTGTGCTCTGGCCTGTGAGTAATATCAAAGTCCACATGAACAAAAGCTCTTTCAACCTCAGGAAGGTTTTCAAGCTTCTCTTGAAGTGTTTCTCCAATGTTATGTGCATGACTAAGAGACATGTCCCCAGGCAAGACTATGTCAACTTCCACAAAATAGTTGCAACCAAAAGTATAGGCTCTCACTGTCTCAATGTGCTGGATCTCCTTGTCATGGTTCCAAATCAGATATGTCAACTTTGCCAAGTACTCTGCTGGTGCTGTCTTCCCAATCAGTGACCACACATTTTCCATCACTGTTTTTGCCCAATTTCCCATTGTATACAAAGCAATCTGCAGGCATTGTATTTCAAATATCAATTACACTTGTTGCCATAAAATAGTTTTGGGTTAGATATCCTCGTGTTTTGTTCGGATTTTCAATTCGTTCCTTGCATTCTCAATTTGGCCAATTTGGTCCCTGTGTTTTAATATGTTAACGTCAAATTAGGCAAAAGGGACAAGGACCAAATTTGTCAAATTCAAAACACAAAGACCAAAATGGTGTTGTAATAAAATTAGGTGTTGATTAATATATTGGACTTACAATGATAGCTCCAACGGGGTCAATCCACCAGTAAAACCTGATTGCTAAAACTGCTGATGCAAGACCAATTCCATTAGTGATGACATCAAATAGATGATCTTGAGCATATGCTCGAACAATTTCGTTCTTGAATCTACGACAATATGCCATCAGCACAAACTTCACCACTGTGGCAGACACCATGATCCCTATCATCCATTTTTCTTTCACCGGGTCCCTATCAGGTTGAGCCTACATGGAAAGAAATTCATAAGGACCTATTTACATTTTTGGTGTTCAAAATTTCCCTCAATAAGAAAAACTTGATGCTTCAAACCATATTGATCTATAGGAGAATGAGTTGGAAATGCAGATATAATAATATATATTGAGTCACTGACTGTGTTCAAGACTTCTTGCTCTACTATCAACTGATGAGCTCTTACATACCTTTGTGAGAAGTTGCCGTCCCGATTCGAACAAGATTTGTAATCCAAGAGTTGCCATTACTGATGCAAAAACAACAATTCCCTGCAAGGCATTTGAGATTTAGTATATGAATCATGGAGAAAATTGCAAGTGAAATGTTCTCATACTGTATAAAAATTCCCTGCAAACTTCGGAACCAATTTCTTGAAAAATTTGGTCTCATGTTCCCATATTGAAATGTTTCTCCTAGAAAGATATTGGTTTAATAAGCTCGAAATCTTTTCTTGTGTGCATATTTTTGTCTGATGTCTCCTCAAGTTATTGGATATGCTTACCACAGGCTGCATCCGATTCTTGCCAATCGGGTACCGGTATTGATTTGGTTTTCTCATTGCATTAGACGTAAACCAAAGAATGAACCCTGACAAGAGGTCTAACAGAGAATCCAATGTTGAAGCTATCACTGCTAATGATCTGCTCTCAAATGAAGCATACACTTTTGCCAGGAAAAGCACCAAATTAGCCACATTAGATGCATATATTGCTATCCTTTCATTTCTTGCAAGCTGGTTCACCTCATCCTGAAATCAAGAGTTTGTATGCAAATTGCAATAATTAAGAAAAATTCAACATTTGAATTAGTGGAGATCATTTTATAGCTGCAAATTACCACTAATCTAAGGCAAATTAATAGCAGACCTCTGTTAAACTTCCAGGCCAAAACCCCGTTTCCGAAAATATGTCCAACTCATTGAATCCTTTGAGAAGTTTATTCTGCCTCTTGTAATATTCTGCAATTTTTCTTTGCCTCCCTGTGATAGCAATAGAGAGAATTTCAATGTTAATATACGTTTTAAGACAAATATAATTTGTCTTTGTCAATCACATCTATTAAATTGACATAAAGTGTATGAAAGTACTGCATAAAGAGGACGTAAGATAAGAGCTTTTACTTAATGACTCAACAAAAGAGCCAAAGCCAAAATAAGAATCCTTGTTTCTGTCTGGAAGCTTGAAGCCATCCATATTGAGCCTCCATTCTGCCTCAGTCGGCATTGTCACAGCCTCTCCTGTCACATCCGGAGACAGAAGCTCAGTCCGGTAATCCGAAGAATCTGTTCGAAGATCTGTCACCATTTTTCTCAGCAGAAAGAATTTGCTAGGAAGGCAAGCATTTGCAGCTCAATATATAAAGCAAACATAGGCAGATATACAAGGTTTACTATTCTATAATGTCCATTAACCCAAGTAAAGAAAGAATCTAATAGAAACTTGAAATTATTATTATAATCAGTAGATAAGCATGGACAATGCCGGTCTGATACCACGCGCTCTTAAAATTTATATTTTAGTAGCAGTTTTCAGAAACTGAAGATGATTTTTGAGTATGCCTATTGGAGCATAAGAGCTGACTTTTGTGAAAGGAATATATTGAAGGCTTAAGTGCTATAGTGCCCTTGAAACATTGATCAATCTCCACTAAACTCCCTTAAAGTTAAAGTGACTCATTTTGCTTCATTGATCCATGTTTTGTATATCACTTTGGCCCTTACCGTCAAGTCTGTTAAAAATGCTTACGCGGCACCAATGGGAGCCACTATTTTGCTAAACTAAATGCCATGTGTGAAGAAAAAAATAAAAAATTGTCTTTTAAAAAACTTAATTTAACTATTAAAAATAAAATTAATCCTTTAAAACCAAAAAATCCCCAATTTCCCTCCAACAACCCCATTATCCCTTCTCAGTCACCACAACCACCCCGACCTGCTCCTCTCTCTTCCTCCAACCCCAAAGTTCCCAAGTGCACATTCATATACACTTTTCAACGAACTCGGAGAAGTCACTTTCAAGCTGTTCTTCTCCACCACAAACCTCCCCACACAAACCCCACAAAGAAGAAACCAAACCCCAATTAAAAATCCCAGCTTTTCCTTCATCTTAGACACTGACACTAACTCTCCAATTTATTGCTCCAAAGACAGAGAACCAGATCAAACCCAATCTTACAAGGAACAGGTTTTCCCCAACAAAATCTCGTCTTTTTTAAAACCTAAATCTCAAAATTTGATAATGAAGAGGAACTTGTTATTTCGCACTGCAAGTTTTCTGGGTCTGGAACTAAATTTCGTGGGAAGCGTAGAAAGGTCAAGAGGTAGTTTTTTTTTATTTAGAGAAGAAAAGTATCTAAAGTGGAAAATGTTATAAATTGTTAAAATAAATCAATGGCATGTTTACGTATTAGTAATGGGTATAGAAGGATAGTAATGGGTATAGAAGGAAAGAAAATGATTTTCATTCCTGACTTTTCCTGAGTTTACTTGCAATCAAAATGAAAAAATAAGTGAGTCCCATCTCAAAATCTGTAATCGCATTCCCTCAAAACTAGGTATCAGATCAACTAGGGGGAGTAGTTGATACGATTTTCATTCCTGTTTTCTCTTAATAACTTTCAAAAATACCCTTACCACTTTACCATAATTCTAAAATTAATTTGAATTCTGATTCATGCAAATTAGTAAACAATAACAATGGGAATCAATCTCATTCCTTTGCTAATTCCATATATTTAGTAAACAGTTTAATGAAAATGATTTTTCTCATAACGATTCAGTAGTTCCCCGATTCCTAAATTCTCCGATTCCTTACTTTATCCATTACTGATACGTAAATATGCCCCAAAAGTTTTAGCTGGGAAGGGAAAATGGATAATGGTGTTGGGGTAGGGGAATTGGGGATTTTTTGGTTTTAAAATATTATTTTTATTTTTAATAGTTAAATTAAGTTTTTTTAAAAGATTTTTTAATTTTTTTAAATTTTCTTTTTCACACATGACACTTAGTTTAGCAAAATAGTGAGTTCCATTGGTGTCATATCAGTATTTTTAACGAAAATTTTAATAGACTTGACTGTGATGGGCAAAGTAAGTCACAAAACATCAGTCAATGAGGCAAAGTGAGTAACTTTAACTTGAATGGGGTTTAGTGGGAATTGATCAATATTTCAGGGGGCACTATAACACTTAATCCTATATTAAATGTGTGTGGATGGAATTTTAGTATCTTACTTGAAGAATTTGTCTTCGTACCACACGGATTCAAATATGCTAATTTTGATGTGCATTCATTAGATGTGCCTGCTTGCCTTATTTCTTGGAAGGAGACACACCTCGCTTTAACAAATCACGGTTTGACAATTCATCAAAATACAAAAAGAAATTTTTTTTACATACATGTCAAACTGTAATTGACAGGAATCTAAGAGTTTCTATTTCCACGAGAAAGCGCCATATTAAAAAGGAAAAAAAAAACTGAAGACTATATTGGACCAGAAAGGCTTTACACTTTTTGGTACCAATGAATGACCTGGTTACATACTGGACCAGCTTTATTGGGCTGAGTTGAATGGTTTTTGAAATTGGGCAATCTTGGAGTCTAAAAAAAGTCCAGTTATTGATCATGCAAGGGCTGAACAATTTGAAATAGTAAGTCGTGCAAATGAAAGAATTTGAATAAATACGTACACCGATGCATAAGTGTGGAAGGGTCGTAGGACTATGTGCCAATATTAAATGTTCATTTCTTTTCTTATTATTTGTGATTGTATTTGATGTGATTATAATTTCTTTTACGTTTAAATTCGTTCTCCCTGTATTAAACAATGGATCATCCAATTCATTTAAATCAAAATGTTAAAACCATCAACATGATTGGACTGGATTTTAGCCTTAGCTTCAACAAATTAGATTGTAAAATCTAAAACTAAAACTACATTATATCATATGTCAAATTTTGAAAATGTTAACATTTTCAAATTCCTAATTCCTCATGAGAGAACATCTCACAAGAATCAACAAAAACTAATTGCATGTTTTTTTAATGATCAACTAATTTATATGTAATTATGGTACATAGACACATGGAGAACTCATAGCGAATTCCACACACATTCAATGATCAATGTATGTTGTATGAGTTAAGTGATTAAAATTATTTGTACATAGATTTTATAGTGATTCCATGCACATTTAGAAGTTGATGCATGTTAAAGACAACCATGTCACATAGATTTTATATATATAAAGTTTCATTGAAGAATTTGAGGGACACTTTTGTAGGGTTAATTTCGGATTTTATTTCACTAATCCAAACTATCTTTTTTTGTAGATATTCGTTCGAAGATTATCTCTACAAAAAATCATTTGAATCAAATATCATTTGACCATTCAATTAAATTATTGAAATTTAAGTACTTTTTTGAAGTATCGTATTCATTGATTTTGTTGGTCTCAATTAGATGCCTTAATGATTTTCAATTTGTTTGATTTCTTTGCAAGGATAACCAATGAATAAATACTTGAAAATTAGACGGTTTGGTTCGGTGAAAAAAAAATCGTAAGGTATCCTAAATAGTGTCCCTCAAATAAGCTAATTTGAGGGATGCCTCAATAGAAGCTCTCTATATATATTAAGTAGAAAAACAAAATATTGCTTGCCTGCAATGGGATGCGATATTCAAATAATTCATAGGAACAATCTAAGAGGTTAGTGGAAAACCTTGAGATGATCTTAAACAATGAGATATGTTTTCCGCTTGTGAAAAAAAGATGAGGTGCAGCCAAAACCCGACAAATATAAAGTTTTTGGTGATCGAAAGAATATTATATAGTAATGGTTGAAGATTATCTTACATACCATTTACATGGCTGGGTAGGTAAAAGTTGGCCGATCCTTTGATAAAGATTCAATCATGCAGAAGCACAAATTAATATGTTATTTGTTAGTGTCACACTGTTTCAATCTGGATGCCTCGTCATACTCAAATATTTTGTCAAAAATAGTGAATTATATTAAGCGATTTATAAGTTTAGGGGTTTCCTACTCAAATATTTGAACCATTTTTTCCTTTTTTGTTTTTTTTTTTTTTTTTTTTTTTTTTTTTTTTTTTATTATTGATTTTGAAGATATTTTTCGGGATAAGTCTATCTCAATGATGTTTTGTCGGCATAGACTTACTCAATAAATTTACTTCTATGTCAACCAACGTTCGTCGGGATAGACTTGTGCCCGTTTAAAATTTAATTTTATAAACTTTCTTTGAGCACAAGAGTCCTTTCTTGAGATTGAGAATATCATGTGCTCCAATTTGGCAAAAGCAATGGGAATAGAATGTCCAACCACCCACTAAACAGTGGCATTACCTAATTTAGGGGAAAGCACACATGAGATATCCTGTCTCTATTTGTCAGGAGTTGATATCCACATTGGTTCATTTATATACTTGGTAAACTATATATACTTTAGTTGGTTTGGATGAGGAAAAATAACTCAGAATTTAACTAAAATTCGGGAATTTAATAAGAGAAATTGACAATTCCCTTGTTTGACAACTTAAGCACGGAATTGATTAAATGACATGCGGAAAAAATTGTGGAAATTGGAGCATCAAATTTCGGAGTTTAATCTCCAAATATGCGTCATTTCACAATTTTCATAGTGCCATTTACAAAATTCGACATAGATAAATTCAAATATTGAAAATTTCAATTGCTAGAAATTGAAATGATGGAAATCTAAATTCCGTCATTTTAGAATTCTATGTAATTTTCAATTTCTTCATCCAAACGAAAGGTTAGAGTAATTAATTTGGCTCAAGAATTTATACCTTAGAGTGACCTCATTTAGTGTTTTGAAAATATATATATATATATATATAAGAGATATTAAAAGAGCGAGTAATTGAATCTAGAATTTTGAATATAAGATTAAATATTCTTAATCAATTGAACTATAATCCCTTTGCGACTTCGTTTAGTGTTAAGCATAACATCTTAGTTAAGTTGGTTGCTCATCACATGGCAAAAGTCTACTACGTGTAGCACATAGTTTTATGGTTTTCCTAAAAGCCTAATGTTTGGAATTCAATAAAAAAACACTTAAGAGGTAACTGATTGGCTCATAATTCCATATGTTTTTAGCCATTTGATGTGACTAATATCAAATTAAATGGGTGATCATCTGTTCTTCTATAATGCAGAAGCGAATGAGTGTAAATGTTTACCCATTTGCAAGGGGCATAATAAATTGCACTCAATCAAGCGCCAAGATTGACTTGCTTCCCACTAGAAAAGTTTAAACAAGAATATGGTGGAACTTGCAACATAAATGAAGGATACATAGGGTTTAGGGTTCTGGTTTCTGATGGACTTCCTAGTCCCCCAATAAGCTGTAATTATTTTTTTTTTATTTTCTGTGTTTTGTTTGGGAGGAGGAGGAAGCTATGGTTTCTAGTCTCTGCGAGTCTAGGCTTTTTTCCCTGAGTTATCTTTTCTCTCTTGATGTCTAGTAACCGGACAGATGATGCACTAATGTCAATAGCAGAGAATTTCAATGTATTGTTATCTCACAGTCTAACATTTATGTTATCTTTCTGTAGGTAGAAATGAAAGTTGTGTTCTCCACTTTTCGTCTTCTTTTCTTTTTATGGCCCGTGTCAAGTGGCTGTCCATCCAAGGCTGATATTCCCAAATGCAGTTATTGTGCCGGTCCATTGTGTTTTGAATTTCAGGTATTGGATCATGAATGTGATCTTGACAATTTTTTGTTATGGTTAAAGCCCAACTCAAAGCTTCAGATTATGCCACAGTTGCTATTTTACTTTAACGTGAAGAATGATGTGGACTCTCTTGATTGGGCTACAATTTCTGTTTATACATGTGAAGCCTCCTGTGATGCAACGCAAGTGTGGCTTACAAAGAAGAATTCGCTTGGGTTCAACTTTCTCAGTCATTTGGTTCCTTGCCAGATACTTTGTACCCCTAGATTAGGAGATATAGCTGTTCAAGTCTTGTTATTGAATCAAGAATTGAGAAAATCGGAAAGATAAGATTTTGATTGTGAAGAATTGTCACAGTTGTTTTGTTTAATGAATCGGATTGATGAAATTTTGATAATGTACCTCCATCACTTCACACGCACCTAGGTTAACCTGTATTCAACCTCAATTTTGTGTTTGCTTGTTAGAAGTGAAATAGACAGTTTTGTGTATGCCTTAGGGTTTGGATTCTTATATTAAAAGCTAGTTTTCCCCTTCTCATTTCTCATATCCTTCTCTCTTCTCCTATCATTCTCTCCTCCCTCCAGCCATGTTCAAAGTCGTGATGCTCGTGGCTTGAGCACTGACCGGCGGTGTTCATCGTGGCAAAAACGGAAAGCATCAAATGATGATTTTATTAACTTTTTCTTTAGGTGGATAAGAAGAGCAATCTTTGGGTTGAAAAAGAACCATCCATCACAAATTTTTACTTTCTTCATTTTTTATCCGAACACATTGAGTTTCAAGTAGCTCGAAATAAACATATAAACTTTATTCCTACAGATAAGTAGTAGTTCAATAACTGTGGCCTACTCTATGTTCAATTCCCTCCTTCAAATGTTGGGATTGGTTTTTAATAATTGAAAAAAGAGCTAGTTCAAACAACACTTAGCTACTGTTCTTGTCTTGTGTTTCTTGATCATGAAGACAACTTTGGCTTGTGCTCTGGCCTGTGAGTAATATCAAAGTCCACATGAACAAAAGCTCTTTCAACCTCAGGAAGGTTTTCAAGCTTCTCTTGAAGTGTTTCTCCAATGTTATGTGCATGACTAAGAGACATGTCCCCAGGCAAGACTATGTCAACTTCCACAAAATAGTTGCCACCAAAAGTATAGGCTCTCACTGTCTCAATGTGCTTGATCTCCTTGTCATGGTTCCAAATCAGATATGTCAACTTTGCCAAGTACTCTGCTGGTGCTGTCTTCCCAATCAGTGACCACACATTTTCCATCACTGTTTTTGCCCAATTTCCCATTGTATACAAAGCAATCTGCAGGCATTGTATTTCAAATATATATCAATTACACTTGTTGCCATAAAATAGTTTTGGGTTAGATATCCTTGTGTTTTGTTCTGATTTTCAATTCGTTCCTTGCATTCTCAATTTGGCCAATTTGGCCCCCGTGTTTTAATATGTTAACGTCAAATTAGGCAAAAGGGACAAGGACCAAATTTGTCAAATTCAAAACACAAAGACCAAAATGGTGTTGTAACAAAATTAGGTGTTAATTAATATATTGGACTTACAATGATAGCTCCAACAGGGTCAATCCACCAGTAAAACCTGATTGCTAAAACTGCTGATGCAAGACCAATTCCATTAGTGATGACATCAAATAGATGATCTTGTGCATATGCTCGAACAATTTCGTTTTTGAATCTACGACAATATGCCATCAGCACAAACTTCACCACTGTGGCAGACACCATGATCCCTATCATCCATTTTTCTTTCACTGGGTCCCTATCAGGTTGAGCCTACATGGAAAGAAATTCATAAGGACCTATTTACATTTTTGGTGTTCAAAATTTCCCTCAATAAGAAAAACTTGATGCTGCAAACCATATTGATCTATAGGAGAATGAGTTGGAAATGCAGATATAATAATATATATTGAGTCACTGACTGTGTTCCAAGACTTCTTGCTCTGCTATCAACTGATGAACTCTTACATACCTTTGTGAGAAGTTGCCGTCCCGATTCGAACAAGATTTGTAATCCAAGAGTTGCCATTACCGATGCAAAAACAACAATTCCCTGCAATGCATTTGAGATTTAGTATATGAATTATGGAGAATATTGCAAGTGAAATGTTCTCATACTGTACAAATTTGGTCTCATGTTCCCATATTGAAATGTTGCTCCTAGAAAGATATTGGTTTAATAAGCTTGAAATCTTTTCCTGTGTGCATATTTTTGTCTGATGTCACCTCAAATTATTGGATATGCTTACCACAGGCTGCATCCGATTCTTGCCAATCGGGTACCGGTATTGATTTGGTTTTCTCATTGCATTAGACGTAAACCAAAGAATGAACCCTGACAAGAGGTCTAACAGAGAATCCAATGTTGAAGCTATCACTGCTAATGACCTGCTCTCAAATGAAGCATACACTTTTGCCAGGAAAAGCACCAAATTAGCCACATTAGATGCATATATTGCTATCCTTTCATTTCTTGCAAGTTGGTTCACCTCATCCTGAAATCAAGAGTTTGTATGCAAATTGCAATAATTAAGAAAAATTCAACATTTGAATTAGTGGAGATCATTTTATAGCTGCAAATTACCACTAATCTAAGGCAAATTAACAGCAAACCTCTGTTAAACTTCCAGGCCAAAACCCCGTTTCCGAAAATAAGTCCAACTCGTTGAATCCTTTGAGAAGTTTATTCTGCCTCTTGTAATATTCTGCAATTTTTCTTTGCCTCCCTGTGGTAGCAATAGAGAGAATTTCAATGATAATATAACTTTTTAAGACAAATATAATTTGTCTTTGTCAATCACATCTATTAAATTGACATAAGAGAAGGACATAAGATAAGAGCTTTTACTTAATGACTTAACAAAAGAGCCAAAGCCAAAATAAGAATCCTTGTTTCTGTCTGGAAGCTTGAAGCCATCCATATTGAGCCTCCATGCTGCCTCAGTTGGCATTGTCACAGCCTCTCCTGTCACGTCCGGTGACAGAAGCTCAGTCCGGTAATCCGAAGAATCTGTTCGAAGATCTGTCACCATTTTTCTCAGCAGAAAGAATTTGCTAGGAAGGCAAGCACTTGCAGCTCAATATATAAAGCAAACATAGGCAGATATACAAGGTTTACTATACTATAATGTCCATTAACCCAAGTAAAGAAAGAATCTAATAGAAACTTGAAATTATTATTATAATCAGTAGATAAGCATGGACAATGCCGGTCAGATACCACGCACTCTTAAATTTTATATTTTAGTAGCAGTTTTCAGAAACTGAAGATGATTTTTGAGTATGTTTGCCTATTGGAGCATAAAAGCTGACTTTTGTGACAGGAATATATTAAATGTGTGTGGATGGAATTATAGTATCTTACTTGAAGAATTTGTCTTCATCTTGTTCATACCACGCAGATTAAATTATAATAATTTTGGTGTGCATTCATTAGATGTGCCCGCTTGTCTTATTTCCTGAAAGGAGACACACCTCGCTCTAACAAATCACGGTTTGACAATTCATCAAATACAAAAAGAAATTTTCTTTGCACACATATCAAACAGTAATTGACAGAACCTAGAAGTTTCTATTTGCACGAGAATGTGCCATATTAAAAACTGAAGACTATATTGGGCCAGAAAAGCTTTGCACTTTTTGGTACCAAGGAATGACCCGGTTACATACTGGACCAGCTCTATTGGGCTGAGTTGAATACTTTTTGAGATTGGGCAATCTTGGAGTCTAAAAAAAGTCCAGCTATTGATCATGCATGGGCTGAACAATTTCAAAAAGTGAGTCGTCAAATGAGAGAATTTGAATAAATACGCACGCTGATGCATAAGTGTGGAAGGGTCGTGGGACTGTGCCAATATTAAATGTTCATTTCCCATCTATTTTTCTTATTAATTGTGATTGTATTTGATTTGATTATAATTTCTTTTACGTTTCAGTTCGTTTTCTCTGTATTAAACAATGGATCATCCATTTCATTTAAATCAAAATGTTAAAACCATCAACATAATTGGACTGGATTTTAGCCTTAGCTTCATCAAATTGGATTGTAAAAATCTAAAACTAAAACTACATTTGATCATATGTCAAATTTTGAAAATGTTAACATTTTCAATTCGACGAACACCCCGAATTCCTCATGAGAGAAAATCTCACAAGAATCAACAAAAACTAATTGCATGTTTTTTAATGATCAACTAATTTATAAGTAATTATGGAACATAGACATATGGGAACTCATAGCGAATCCCACACACATTCAACGACCAATGTATGTTGTATGAGTTAAGTGATTACAAATTATTTGTACATAGGTTTATAGTGATTCCAAGCACGTTTAGCAGTTGATGCATGTTAAAGACAATCATGTCACATGTTTATAAATGGTAACAAAGTAGAATACATGTGGCTCTCACAATGGAACTCATCCCCATTCAACGTCCAATGCATGTTGTATCAGTTAAGTGATTACATACCATTTGTACATAGTTTTTACAGTGATTTCACACGCATTTAACGATTGATACATATTAAAGACAATTGTGTCACATGTTTATAAATGGTAACAAATTAGAATACATGTGGCTCTCACAATGGAACCCATACACATTTAGCAACCAACGCATTTTGTATCAGTTAAGTGATTACAAACTATTTGTACAGAGGTTTTACAATGATTCCACATGCATTGATCGGTTGATGCATGTTAAAGACAATTGTGTCACATGTTTATAAGTGGTAACAAAGCGGAATATATGTGGCTCTCACAACGCATCCCAAATACATTTAACAACGAACAAGATATCATATTAATTAAGTGATTATGAACCATTTGTACATAGTTTTCAAAGTGATTATACACGTATCTAACGATTGATGCATGCTAAAGATAGTCATGTCACATGTCTATAAGCGGTAACAAAGTAGAATACATGCGGCTCTCACAATAAAAAGAAAGAGAAAAACAAAAACAAAAAGAAAGGAAAAAAGGAAATTTTTTTTTTTGTCTGAAAAAAAAACAATTAAAAACACGGAAAAACAAAGAACCCAGACCCCCATTCAGATAGATACAGAGGGATGCAGTATTTCTCTATTCGCGTATTACAGAGAAATTGAGTAAAACCTAATTTTCTGTCTCTAGGAGCTGTTCAAGGTCTAGGATTTCCTCATCAACTACCTCAAAGATGGTAAGTACTCTAATTTCGAGCTTTATTTTCAATTTCTGTTTATGTCATTGTTTTTGTTGGATGATATATTTGAGACTTTCGGTTTCATGTATAGATACTGTTTCTGATCAGCCTCTCGCTTTGCTACTTGTACTTTAATCTTAAACTGTACTGTTTCATTTTTTTCTTTTTCATGGTTTGTTCTGGATGTAACTAGTTCTGCAAATTCTAGCAGCACTTCTCTGCCGCTATCATGTCGAAGTTTCAATTTTTAGTGGCTATAACGTTGTTATTGTTTGTTGAACGCTCTGCTTGGCAGCTGAGAAAGCTGAGGAAAAGGAAATAAAGAGATGTGTCTTTTGAATTTGACAACGTATACTAGTGAAGGAATTTTATTTTCTCTTCCGTGTAAAGCTCAGTTTAGCAGAGGCTGTTGGTTTCTCAGGTTTTGAAGCAAATTGATGCAAAATAAATTTTGTTGCCATGGAAAACCTTTTCTAATGTGAAATTAAAGACTATTCTCTTATATTTTAGATTTTCTTGACGGAAAAATAACCTTTATGATTAGCAACCCACAACTGATATGCATGCATAATTTTGCTTTGTTCTCTCTTTCTCCCTCATGGTCTCACCTGCTTCACCTTTTCGTTTTGACAGCACAAATTGGGTAGAGGCCACCGGGAAAAGCTCCAGCAGTTCATAACAATTACTGGAGCGAGGTAATTGATAATCATGTGTAAATTTTCTTTAGTCTGTCTTAAGAAAGGAGTTTTTGGAGAATACTATGCTTCTTTGAGTTTGGCTTTATTCTAAACAAATATGGGTGTAGCTTAAATGATTTATTCCTGTGTCACAAGCTTGTTGTAATATTGTGAAAAACAGGTTGTGTGAGAGGTGATAAGTGTTTTTATGTCTGAATCCTGCTGTAACATGAAATACATTAACCACAGTGATGATAGTATCTCAATATAAGAATCTTATAAGCATGCCTAGGTTCGTGGGTCTTTATTAAAACCCATTTAGATGTTGAAGTTTTGCTAGCTTACATCTGTCATGCATTGATATTTAAAGCACCCATTTGAACCAGTTGATGTTGCGTGTTTAGTTGTTGATCATGAAGGGTCACATGTAACTTCAATATCATTTTTTCCTTTCTAAGGGACACATGTGCGTTTGTATTGTGCTAGAGTTGGTTGAGTTGAGCAGTTGTAATGGTCTACTTGTTTATGTATCTTTTGAAGTTGAGCTGGAAAAAGTGTGTGTGCACACATTTACCTGATTTGTATTAGATTGGTGGAGTTCTTCCATACCTTTTTTCTTTCTTCCTCTTCTTGAGTAGCTTCAGTTTGATTCTTGGAATAGTTGAAAAGTCTAACTTCCCATCATATTCAGTGAAAAAGTTGCTCTGCAGGCTTTGAAGTCGAGTGATTGGCATCTTGAAGGAGCATTTGATGTATTCTACAGTCAGCCCCAGTTGCAAACAAATACTGATTCTAGACATTTGGAGGAATTATACAATAGATATAAAGGCAAGCTCTTCCTTTCCGCTCATTCTTGTCCTCAATCTAGACCTTTTGCACTTTTTTATATCGCATTCATAGGAAATGGAATAGACGGAGATGTAAATCAGTACATAAATCCACAACCATCAAGTGTCAGTCTAAAATTGTATCAAGTTTGTAATAGACGAATACTTGAATCCTAGTAATTTAGTAGTGAGCATGATGGACTTTTCACTGTGATTAAAATATAAATGCTAGATAATAAAAAGTTTGATGGAGTTGGTTTTTGTAAAGCTTCCTCGTCAACTTTGTGTTACTCGAACATATATTGGCGAATAAAAATAATCCATCAAATGTTTTCTTTCTTTGTCCTTTTTTTTTGTGATTTATTAAAACTAAATTTATATGGTTTGCAGAATTCCCCTTTTACTGATGAAATATAATTTTTCTCAGATCCATGTGCTGACATGATACTCGCTGATGGTATCAGCATCCTTTGCAACGATCTTCAGGTAACTGATTGGTACAGATAGTAACTCTCAATTACTGGACTGTAACATTGTTGTTTGTTTCTTATGATTCTTTTCTTTCTTAATTTTTTCCCTCATTTTTTTGACTAACAAGTAAGCCTCCATAATTTGACAGGTGGATCCTCAAGATATAGTCATGGTACGTATATATGAATGCATAAATCTTTTCAGATCAAGATGTGCATGCTTGCCAAGTTCCTTCCAAGTGTAGCCAAATCATTTTTGCGGCAATATTAAAATTCAATCCATAAAGTTCTGCCCCTATGAACTTAACAACCATTATGTTTGAAAGTTCATCAGAAATTCAGGGAACTTTTTAGTAAGATTGCAGAAGATACGGTAGTTTTCTAAGTGGGGCTTATTGCATTTATGGAACAGGCTAAAATAAGATTTCTGGGGTGTTAAATGTTACATTTTCAGGATTGGAGACTACCATAGGACACATGCTAAAATTTAGGGGCATTGGTGAAATTACCTTGAACTATATAAAAGAAATGGATATGCAGGCAATGAAGACTCAAATATATGTTTGCGATTTGCTTGGTGAACTTTTGCTTTTGGTTTGCCTACATTTGTCAACTTATGCTTATGATTTGGCTGGTTATTTTTGGCACGATGGGCTGTTTATGCAGTTAGTTGTCTCCTGGCACATGAAGGCAGCCACCATGTGTGAATTTTCCAAGCAGGAGTTCATAGATGGATTAGAAACACTGGGGTAGGTACAAAAGGTTTCTGATATGTATTTTATTCTTCTAAGCTCAAATTACAGTAGGTATTTAGTCCGTAACTACTATTTGAGGAATTCAGTAAACATATAAGTTTACGTTTTCTGATGGCAGGATAGATTCTCTGGAGAAATTCCGTGAAAAGATACCATTTATGCGATCTGAGCTGAAAGATGAACGTATGTAATTATAGTGTTTTAAAAAATTGATCTGTATATCATGTTTGCCTTTTGTGGATACTTATAATGTTAATATATTTGTTGAAATAGCTTGACCCTTCTTTAAAGATGTTGTTTTCATTTGACTTTTGTGAGAGGTATGGTACCTTTGTTCTCCATTGCTGAAATGATCTTCTTTTGATTTTCCAGAAAAGTTTCGCGAGATATATAATTTTGCTTTTGGCTGGGCCAAAGAAAAGGTATGTGTTTTTCGTGCATGCAGATTTTGACTTGTTCTATTTCTTGACTATGCTTATCTCTCAAATTTGATAGGTAAAACTAGGAAGAATCCTTTGATATTCTTGATGGGTGCAAATTTAGAATGGAAACATGTGGACCTGAATGTGCATTAAAACAGACAATTGGGTTAAGCCGCAGTGGTTGAGCGGTAACCTTTCCCCTTCCACCCCAATTGTCACCCGGGTTTGAACTAGCATGAGTTATTGAAATCTTGTGATACCCATTTACTGTATAGTCCCCCTCCCCTTCCTACCTAATACCTATTGGCAAAATAAAAATAAAAATTGTGCATTAAAATATAATTAAAATGTATTCAGCTACAGCTTTTGAAATAGTCTGTGTGTGATGCATCTTTCATAGTTTGAATTATAGATAACATGCTTGACTGTCAACTGGTATCTTCATGTTGTTGTTCAGTACCTTCAACAATTTCAACAATAAGATTTTTGTTGTTAAAGGTATCTCAGATAAATTCTGGTTTTGATCTATAACTATGTGTGTGTATACATATACATATATATGTTGCTTCATTTTCATTTCAGGGTCAGAAATCTTTGGCATTGGATACTGCAATTGGAATGTGGCAATTACTGTTTGCTGAAAAGCAGTGGCCATTTGTCGATCATTGGTGTCAGTTCTTACAGGTAATTTATGGGGTTGAGTATTTGTTGAAAGTAGCAGCTACACTGTGCTGCAATAGTCATTTATATTACTGATCATAATCATTGTGAACACTATACATCTGTTATAGTGTTCATGAATGTCATGAATGTTTGATATGAATAAATATCTCTAAAATTGGAGGCTTCATACATTTACCTTTAGCCCTACGTCATTTTCTTACTAAACACCATACATCTGTTATATCTTAGAAAGTATGTGTGCCTTGAAATAGCATGGATGTCCCAAAGTGATTGTGAGAAATATTAAGTTTCTTCTTATGGCACCAAGGAAAAATGTAGGAGTTATGTTTTTTGCTGCCATACTCCATGCATAACTTTCTTCTCTTTAGTTTTATTATATTCTTGACGTGCATCTGTTAATAATTTTTTCTTCATCCACTCATTTCAGGCTCGGCATAACAAGGCAATTTCAAGGGACACATGGTCTCAACTATTAGAGTTTGCAAGGGTAAGATATCAAGCATCAAAGTGTCACCAAATTTTTTTTTTAAAAAAAACAAACAATAAGGGAAAAGGAACATAAGTATGTATTCTTATGAGCATGATTTATATCCGGTTGCCTTGTCCTTCATGCTAATCTGAATTCTGAACAAGGCTACTCCTTTTTTCTTCTGTTTTTGTTTTTCTTTGGTTAACTTTAAACTTTGTGTTTGTAGGCTGTGGATTCATCACTCACAAATTATGACGCCGAAGGTGCCTGGCCCTATCTTATTGACGAATTTGTCGAGTACTTGAAGGAGAATGGTGTAATCCAAAAAAGCTAGTTGCCTGAACGGAGCCAAAACCAATCAGGACTGCTTGAGTGGTGAATTAGGAGTTTCTTCTCATTTTCATTACTGTGATTGAATTGTGCTGCCCTGTGATTGAATTTGGTTTGTCTGCAAAATAAGACAACCAAAAGAGAGAGATGACTTGGAAACCAATTGAAAATCTTATTATTACATACATTTTACAGTCAATTAGATTGGTGATGTGGTATTGTATGTGCATTGTCTGTCTAGTACAATATATATATATTTTTTGTTTTGATAAATATCTAGTACAATATTGAGATGATCGAAGTTTTTATTTTCATTGATACTGAAGATGTCAAATGTGTAAATTAGTGTTGGTAATTCCAAATTGATTTGCACGTTGAAATTTCATCAAATTATTTAGAGCACCCAAACAAATACCATTGTCGTTGATATTGACCACTAAATATTGGGTCTGAAGTTTAACCTTTTTTCAATGCTGGGGAAATGGGATTGAAGGCAATTTATCCTCAGCATCCTATTTTAGAAGTACTTGGTGCCGTTTAACACATGCGCAAACGATTTCGTTTTTATGTTACTTCTAATGAATCATTCAGTCATGGTTATACAAGCCGGCTTATGAGCTCTTAGCCACACTTATCTTGTAATGAGAATTCCTTTTGACACAAACAATATTGGGACACTTTTGGGAGAACTCACATGTAACAAGGATGCCATTGTGGCAGTATCCCAAGTTTATTATGTATTGCCTGTCAGAAAGTTAAAATACATGACAATGAATGATTGGCTGAGGATAACGTCACAATGGTATCCCTAGTATATGCAAGTTTTTCTCCACTCTCGGAGATGAATCGAACATACGACCTCAAGTGTATGGAAATGCTCTTAACCGTTAAAGCTAAATGCATGTGTAGTAACTCGAATTCTTCAATATTAGAAGCCATGGTAATGAAAATTCGAAATTAAATCGGCATTAGGTTTAAGTTTAATTTAAGAGTCGCACTTTGAATTAATTGATGAAATAAGAGCACACAAAATCTTCAAGATAAAGTACTTTTATTGATTGTTGGTATGATGATGATTAATTTGATTAACAATTCATCCAGCAAATGCAATCAGGGTAACAATGGCCTCCCTGGTATGATTCCTGCTGGCAGGCCAACTCGCAGTCTACCCATGAAGTGCACAAAGGTAATGACTCGCATGTTTGGTACAAGTTTTAACTCTGCCAACCACACCCCTCTCTTCTGTAATTATAATTGCAAAAATTGGTCAGTTCATAATTTAATAAATAATTAATAGCAATTAAATTAATTAATGCATGGGAATTGTTAAAGAGGATCATAAGCTATATAGGGTTTTCTAAATTGTCTTGATACAAGTGGAATTTATATCAACAAAAAAGTTTGACCCTAGAGGCAGAGACTCACGAGAAGCCAGGAGAATGCATAGTAAGAACACAAGGATGAGAGATTTGCTAGACATTTTTCTTCAATTCACTCTTTTAGCCCTTCAAGATTTTACTTGATGAGATGGCTTTCTTCTCTGACATGTAACTCCCTTCTTTTATATGAGAAAGAGTGATGCCCCTGTTCTATTTCCCCACTCACCTTATCTTCCCATCCACCATATAAATTTGTAAAAAACATAATCCTATCTTTCCATCAACTATTATTCATAAACTACAATTTAGTTATTAATTCGAGCAATATTGGGGAGATATATTTTCTTTATGTTTTATTCTTTTGATCCCTTTTAAATTGATTTTTCTTGTGTGTTTTGTCACTGTAGAGTGAATTTTTTTGTGTGTGTTGATTTAACTGTAGAATATTTTTTACAGGGGTTGGGTTCGTTTAATTTGAGTTTGATTATAGGTTTAAATGATGCAAAATCGAAATAACTTGCTACAATAATAGGTACCTGTGGGAATCCATATTTGCGGAATTGAACATTAGGGATTGCCGAGAACTGTTAAATCATATGGGAAAGAGAAGAAATACTTTTTTATTAGGGAAATATTATGGCTTGATGAATACTGAGTTTTTAAGGAATTTGTTTTTTTTATGAAATTGAAATTGAGTTTTTATTTGAGATATTGGCTTAATTTTCTAGTTTAATGTGCTTGGAAGTTACGTATAAGGTCTTGGATGATTATAAAAGGTTACTCCTCTTTTGTATTTGATACAAAACAACAATATGATTATCTCTACATCTATTCTCCTATACTTTCACACATTTTATATTTTCTAGTAGTATATTTGAGCAACGATTAAGTGATTTGGAGACATATATGCTACTCTTTTATGATTTATTCCGGTATTTGTTTTTCTAATTGTCTTGATTAAAATACACTTCATTGATTTAATTGATGTGACATATAATATAGACATGCCACATCATGTGATATAGAAATGTGGGATAAAATGTGGTAAGTGTAACATTACTCAATATCTTTTTCCCCTTATATTGTCAGTATATAACTCTTACCACATTTGTATACCAGATTTCCATACCACCTTATGTGGCAGATGAGGTGGACATCACATCAATAAAATTAATTTAACATTTTCTTTTCTTTTATGATTATTGATATTTTTTAATTGATGTGGTTGTCTACTTCATCTGCCACATAAGATATTGATATAAAAATATAGTATACAAATGTGGTAAGAGTAGCATTGCTCTTATACAATATCTGCATGCACATCTATGCTCATTGGATTCTTTCCTTCTCCTCAAATCTCATTCATTCATTTATGCTCATTTAAACGTAATCCAAGCACAGAAAGACAATGAAGAAACTTTCTCCAAGTCAAGAGCCTAGGGCCAACACTTGTTCTGGTTTTGTTTTCGACCTGGGCTGGGGGCCGCCAGTTAAAAAACCAAAACTCAAAGAGTTCAAATCTAAAATTTGAATTTAAAATGAAAATTCTACACCCTAAAATAAATTTCACAGCAACTCGAAATCAAAATGTGCACGTTAATTGATAAAACCCTTCAGAAATTGAATAATCCAAAAGCTGCTTTTAAAAAAAAAATTACAAAAGTAGTTGAATTGAAGACTTGAACACCAGCTGATTAAATTGGCTAGCTAGATTGAGCGGATTACAAAATTGAAGAGATAAATCAGGATCCTCTTCCAACATTTTTAATCATTAATTATAGCTTAAGGTCTTAAAGCAGAGAGATATTGTTCCCTTGTAGTAGCTACCTCCACACTTCCCTACTAGTATAAAGCAGAGAGAACCATATGTACTAATATTCAACTGCAAGACATGGAAATTAACAGCTTCTTTGAGCTCATGTTCTTGCTCTTCCTTCTCTTATTGCCATAAGGTCTCTCTCTCTCTCTCTCTCTTTCTACATTTTGATTATCTATGACTTCTGTCAATATTTTTGTTTTTGTGTGTGTTTAATTTAGAGATGGTGAGGCAAGTTGGGGCGACGGAGTGCAAGTATAAGAGCCATCTATTCAAAGGGATGTGCTTCAATAAAGACAAGTGCTACTTTATTTGCCAGTCGGAGGCTTTTGAGCGTGGTCAATGCGAAGGGATACGACGTCGTTGTATGTGCACCAAGACATGTGAACCTCCTCCTATGCAGAAGAGCCTCCTCCGTATGAAGTTGGATGGGATGGCGGCCGCCGCGGTGGAGGTGGTAGAGATTAGAGAGAAGAGAAGGACCTGAGGACAGGGCTAGAAAGAAAAGCGGTGCGTTAAGATGATTTGATACTTCCTGTATAAGATTCACTAGCCTTGTACTTTGCAAAATGATCATTTTATATTCATGAAATAAAGTTTCTAAAAATAAAAATTGTTACTTAAAACTCATGTGCATAAACTAAAAGACCTACTGTACACTAAGTCGAGAGCATATAAAAACATAGAAAAACATACATATTTTACTTTACAAAAAAGACATGAAAGAATCATATATCTACAAGAGTATATAATATTCCTCTACCATAAGCTGAACAAAAATAAAATTTGTTACCTAAACTCATGTGCATAAACTAAAACACCTCTATAAACCAAGTCGAGAGCATAGAAAAACATACACATGTTACTTTACGAAGAAGAAAAAGAAGAAATTAATGATTTTAGAAATTATGAGATTCATTAACCTATGTATATTCTTAATCAACGACAACAAATATGAGTATTAAACTCAACTTATGTTTTTAATTTTAGACTAATCTCAAATTTTCTAAAAAGAATAATACTTTTGAACGTAAAATTATTTTATTCACATATCCTGTCCATATAACTTGTATATTGTATCGAGTGGTACAAGAAGAAAAGTCCTTGGATGAGTTTTTTATTATTTCTTCTCTCTTCTGAGATGTTTACGAGGTTGGACCTGGCGTGTTCTAGTAGAGTATCCTTGGATAAACCCAGATGGCTCTTCCACCCACAGACACACAGTCCTCTAATTGACAACGCATACCATGGTTTACTGGAAACACCAACAGATGTCTATACTTGATGAAAGCGACAGTAAGCTTTAGATCCACCTGTAACCAAAACATCTAAATGCATTTTCATTAATTACCAAATCCTGAAAATCCGTGCATACTTTAAAAAAAGGTAGGGTCTAGAATGCCAAAGAAGCCATGAATGACGTCTGACTGGTAATATTATATATATACACACAGACAGAGTGTTGAAAGACAGATCTAGAGTTCAGTTGTTGAAGACAATTAGAAATCTGAAGATTAAGACATGGAGAGGAAGTTGTTTGGTCTTGTTTTGATCTTGGTCATCCTTCTAACTTCTCGTAAGTACTCTCTCTCTCTCCTCTCTCCTCTTTGTAACAATAACTGATGAATGAATTAATTAATATTTGTGGTTAATATCGCAGAAGAGATGGTGATGCAGAGTGAAGCTAAGATTTGTGAAGTGACAAGCAAAACATTCATAGGGCTATGCATCAAAGACAGAAACTGCATGGTGAGATGCCACAGTGAGGGTTATGGTTATGGCAAATGCTCCCATATCCTACGCAAGTGCCGCTGCCTTAAGCCTTGTGTGGCTGAAGAAACTAAGGAAAACTTGCCCTGAATGATAATATTTTGTAGCTCCTCTGTATCAATCTTGATATGAGACCTATAAGCGTCTCATATCTCGTGTATTAGTGAAATTAATAAATAAAATTACATGTTTTATAAATGAGTTCTTTTCATTTACCGCTCATGAGGATGAGGATATTACCATGGTTAACAATTCTATGGCTGGAGGACTCAGCCTTTTTATTTCCCGAAATGGGAAGGGGAATTCTCACACATGGAATTCTCACACACACGGTGTCATGTGGGATCCAACGGTGTCATATGTGATCGAACCGAAGATCACTAGCCTGCATGTCACCACAAAGCCAAACCAACAAAAAGGAAAATAACTTACAATAATATTCATTTTCCCATTGAAATATATTTTGTGGAGATCGCTTCTATATGTTTGCAAGGCTTTAAATTGTGATAGTAGTGTTGATATCTCTTTAACTAAGAAAGTAAAAATTAAAGCATATAACTCAAAACCAATATCAATTTGATATCTTTAACTGAGAACTATGTGACAATCAACCAAGTAAAAATCATAATCAGTTGGAAAAAAATTTTTTTCTGAAACTACATATCATAAATCAAATTCTTAACCAGATTTTAAGAATGGCGGTAATTTATATATAGCATGTAATCCATCTGGGCTCAGAGCCTTGAGAGGAAGTTCTTTGGCCTCGCATATATATACATGTCCAAGCATAAAAAAGAAAAGTTCCTCTTATGAGTTCTTTGGCCTTACAGATTTCTTTAACTTTTGTTTTTGGTTTTTTGGAAAGAAACGTATAATGAATTAGATAGGAGTGAGTGAAGGTGGATGAATAATGATCAGACATTATCAATGTTGAGAAGAACTTTGTTGAAGAATATAACTGTTGAAAAGTGATTCGGCTAGGGTTCTAGGAATATGAAGTCTTGGAAGAAACTTCAGAATATTTCATTATGTATATTTACAATAGGACACAAGACTTATATAATACAAGGTAGCCTATTCTAGGAAGGAAATAGAACATAATTACATTGATTTACACGGATCAAATCTGTTCCTATGATCAAGGAGAATCAATCAAGTATCCTAAACGATATTATCTTCCAATACTCCCCCTCAAGGTGGAGTGTGAATGTCAAGAACACCCATCTTGCCAAGTAGAGAACGGAATGTTGATTGTCCAAGTGGCTTGGTGAATATATCGGCAAGCTGCTGTCCAGTAGGTACATAAGCTGTCGAAATAACCCCAGAGCGTATGCGCTCACGAACAACATGACAGTCGATCTCTATGTGTTTGGTGCGTTCGTGAAAGACTGGATTGGCAGTTATGTGAAGTGCAGCTTGGTTGTCGCAGTGTAGCTTTGCCGGACTCTTGTGATCAATGTGCAGGTCAGCCAATAAGAACTTCATCCACACAAGCTCACTTGTAGCAGAGGCCATGGCACGATACTCGGCTTCAGCTGAGGATCGTGAAACAGTGGATTGTTTCTTGGTTTTCCAAGATACTAGAGCACCCCCAAGGAATATACAATAGCCTGTGACAGATCTTCTCGTAAGTGGACATCGAGCCCAGTCGGCGTCGCAATATCCTTGCAACATTAAACTCCCATTTGAAGGAAAAAGAAGCCCTTGTCTAGGTGACCCCTTTAAGTATCGTAGAAGACGGTGAACTGCGTCAAGATGAGGCTTTCTTGGTTGTTGCATGAATTGGCTGAGTATATGAACCGAGTATGAAATCTCCGGCCTAGTGATCGTGAGATAAATGAGTTTCCCAACGAGCCTCCTGTATTTCGAGGCATTGTGGAGAAGTTGCCCTTCCGTGGGAGATAATCTCAAGCTTTCTTCCATGGGAAACGTTGCAGGCTTTGCACCGAGTAAGCCGGCTTCATCAAGAATGTCAAGTGTGAACTTACGTTGGGAAATGGAGATTCCTTGAGAAGACCGAGCCACCTCCACACCAAGGAAATACTTCAAGTGTCCAAGATCCTTAAGTCGAAAGTGGGACTGAAGGAATTGTTTGAGATCATGGATGTCAGCCTCATCATTGCCTGTTATAATCATGTCGTCGACATAAATCAAAACAGCAGTAAATGATTTTCCAAGCACCTTAGTGAATAGGGAGTAGTCGGCCATTGACTGCTGGTAGCCGGCTTGGTTTATGGCAGTGGAAAATTTATGAAACCAGCTGCGAGAGGCTTGCTTGAGGCCATAGAGGGACTTGTTGAGTCGGCATACATTATGCTCCCCCTGCGGACGAAGCCCAGGAGGCAGCTGCATATAAACTTCCTCACTAAGATCACCGCGAAGGAAGGCATTATGAACATCCATTTGATGTAAGGACCAATTACGGACAGAGGCAACGGCTAACAGACAGCGAACTGTGATGAGTTTAGCAACAGGAGCAAAGGTTTCCTTGTAATCGATACCTTCGCGTTGTGTAAAACCTTTGGCAACGAGGCGAGCTTTATAACGCTCGATGGTACCGTCAGAGTGGTACATGATTTTGTAGACCCATTTGCAACCGATGGCGCGATGACCAGGAGGAAGGGTAGTGAGAGTCCATGTGTTGTTTTGTTCAAAGGCCAGAAGTTCAGAGTCCATGGCAGCTCGCCATTGAGGATCACTATGAGCCTGTGCAAATGTAGTGGGTTCGACAAGAGTAGAAATGGCACAAGCAAAAGAGCGATGTGATGGTGAAAGATGAGCATACGAGACATAGTGAGATAGAGGATAGCGAGTACCTGACATTGAGAATCCAGGCAAGGACCATATCATTGCATCTTTGCCATGATGCAAATTGTTTGTCAGTGTCTGGTGGAGGGTCGATGGTGCCATCAACCATGCCAAGTTTATTCTTCGCGCTCAAGCTGTCTCGCATAGCACGACTCCAGGTACTATAGTTGTCTCCTTGAAGTGTATTGGAGACCAGAATATTCCCAGGTTGATCTGAGGAATATAGAGTAAAAGGGTTTGAGACATCTGTGAATGTCTCTGTAAACTTTAGGTTTTTGGTGTCGGTGGACGTGTGGGAATTGCCCATGGTGATATTGTGTTTGTTGGAATTGCGGAAGCTGTGTGGGTATTCGGAGTCACCAGAAACGGTGCTCTGATACCATGTTGAAAAGTGATTCGGCTAGGGTTCTAGGAATATGAAGTCTTGGAAGAAACTTCAGAATATTTCATTATGTATATTTACAATAGGACACAAGACTTATATAATACAAGGTAGCCTATTCTAGGAAGGAAATAGAACATAATTACATTGATTTACGCGGATCAAATCTGTTCCTATGATCAAGGAGAATCAATCAAGTATCCTAAACGATATTATCTTCCAATAATAACGAATAGTTCCACAACTAATATTATCGAGGCCTTTTGTATCAATATTTTGTTAAGTTTCCAATGTGAGACTTTGTGTATTCTTCAACAAACTTAACTTAATGATCAGTATATTAAGATCTGTGATTAATTATTTATTATATATGCAGAAGAGATGGTGATGAAGAGCGAAGCAAAGATTTGTGAGGTGTCGAGCAAAACATTCATAGAAATTTGCATCAAAGACAGAAACTGTATGGTGAGATGCCGAAGTGAGGATTAAGCCCATGGCAAATGCTCTCCCACATCCTACGCCGGAGCCGCTGCTTGAAGCCTTGTATGCAGGCTCAAAGTCAAACTGAGGATCAAAGCTCACCATGAATGTTTAATATATGCATGCTCTGCTACGTACTGCATGTATTACTTGTCCTGTTCATGAATCTGGATATGATGTATCTCGTGTCATGAAGATTCACTGAAACTAACATAAATAAAGTTTTATGTGCTCATACTGTAACCCGAAAAAGACAGTCGTCAAATGGGCTTTTGCTTGGTGAGCTTGTGACCAATTATAAATAAATGGGCTTTTGCTTGGTACCCCGTCCAAAAAATGATTGATCGGCTATTACTTTGTCAAAATAAGATACCAAATTGGTATTTTATTTAAATTTTCCCAACAAAATACACATATATATAGAATGCATTACACTGTTTTACTGGGTCAAAATTATAGTACACTACTAAATATGACAACTTTCTTTGCAAGCGATCACTTTCAACGCAATTACTAGTGTTACCTTCTTTGGTCTCGTCAAAAAATAAAAAGAAGAAGTATATTTTCATGATTTCTTCACGGGTAATGTACCACAAAAGCCCCAAAAGCCAACGATAAAGCCAAGGATCATATGCTGACTGTGTGGGGTTTTTTCATTCCAGCAGCTAATGCGGGCCTGGACTGCCGTAAAGAACCAAATGTGTGAAAATTGCCCCTAGGTCTGAGTTCAAGAATCAGACCCCAAAAATGCTTCGAAAGGGTAGCTAAGCCTTAGGAAGCACCTTGGTTACCTTCACCAGCAAAACTAACAGTCACTTACAGGTAGATTCTTAGCTTGACATAAGAAGCTTGTAGCATGGAAGCAAAGCAATCATGAGTTTAGCATTAAAGAGAGAGAGGGTTGTGAGTTCCTATGAGAAGCAGGGGTTCTAAGGAAAGGGGGAAGAGATTCTAAGAGGGTTTGTTGAGGAGAGAGAGGGTCGGGGTATATTGGGTGTGTTGAGTAGTTTCCACCAGCTCGACGAAAACTCTGTCAAGCTTTGTAACCCCTGGTTTGAAGGGTGCCTTGGCTCCTAGCAACCTACGCGCGCTAATATCCCTTGGTTCTTTGCGTGTTCCACCTTGGTGTTCGTTCTTAGCCCATATGCTGGAGCCTCCCAGCAGCTCACTGACATAACACTTTGGCTTTCATCGTGGTTCACGTTTCCACCTAAGTGCTGGAGACTATAGATATTTTCTTGGCTGCTTGGGTTTTTGCTAAAGTGATTGGTTAGCCTACCGAGGGAATGAGCTTAAATGATGGGCTATTTTATTTATGGTGATGGGCTAATTTCCTAGGTATTGGGCTCCCTTTTTCTCTCTTTTATGCTACCCACATATTTGGGCTTAAGAAATGGGTTTGAGTTTTGGGGCTCCCAAGCGGCCCAAAACTTCCATTTCTCGGTTCATCATTGGGCCTCATGAAGGCTCGTTACCATCCATACCACTACCCACTCAAGCAAGTCCCGGGCATTTGTGTGGCTTGGGCCCACTTAAGCTTGTAGCGTAGTTGAGTGTGAAATAATAATTTCCTACTTAGCATGGCATGTCGATTGGCGTGCTTTAATTTTATCGTCTTTGAAAAGGGATATGATGCTTGGTGGGGTAACTAGCATGAGCTTGTAAAATCGGTGCCTTTTATAGGCCCATTTCAATTCTTAGTGTGCTGGATGACATATTTATTTGGTGTGGCATGTGGTCGTGGCTTGTGCAAGTGTGTATGACAAACTTTCGCGTGCCCAAATTGGGTTTCTTATCAATAAGGTATTGCATTGGGCCAGAAATATATTCGGGCCCAACCGTGGATTTTTTGGGCCTCAACATTGACATAGAACCAGTGACGTGGGAACTCCACTAAACTTGAGCCCCAAATCAGATAAATCTAGGTATTCAAGAGATTTGAGGTTCGCAAGTTCATCTAGAATATGATAACTAAAAGAATTGCTGCTTGGCTTTGAGGTTTGCAAGTTCACCTGTGTTGCTATTAAGATCCACTTCATTGAGATTGAGGTATTTTAGGGAAGAGAGATGAGAAAGCCAATTCAAGTTTTTGGAATATACTTCGAATGAACTGACGTGGAGAGAGTTCAAGTTTGATAAGTTACGAAGAGAAGAGGGAATCTCTCCCGCAAACAATGCAAAGGAGATATTGAGATACTTCAGAGTTTTAAGCTCCCCAAAGAACTTAGGAATGTGGATCCTTTCAAAATTATTCCAACCTAAATCCACGTAATACCAGTGTTAATAATAAAAAATTTCATGGACAACGGGTTGTAGCCTCATTCGAATTTACATGACACATTGATTGAGTGTGTGTGAAACACTCACATATTGGTTGAGTATCCTTAACCCATTTTGCAAGTCTGCAAGTTTGCAAGTTTGCAAGTCCAATTAGGAACATGGAATTATATGCATATTCTTTTTCTTGACTAAACTGTAGTCTACTTTTTGGCTGCTTAAATTGTAATTCCATTTCGGAGAAAGTGGTTAGTTGGGCAAATGCTAGCCAATGCCAAGCTTCTCAGTACTTATTATATATGTTGAGTGGTGGAAAGAAATTAACTCATGATGATATTATTGAATTAAAATTACAAATTCTTTTTCTTTTCTCAAGTAAAGGGTTCAGCAACGATATCATGGATGATTAATGATGTTGTCCCCAAATCATTTTTCTTTTTATATTTTTTTAATTAAACAAGTAATTACATTATTTAATTATATTATTTTAATTTTTATTAGTATTTTATTCTCCTTAAGCAAAAATAGTGGGCCCTGCACATGACACATCATCACTTCGACTTCCGGTAGACAATGTAAGATTTGACCATCTCAATTGACGTATTTTTTCTCTTTTTCACATTAAGATATTTATTCTTATTTATTCTTTGTCACTAAAAGAGGAATTTGAATTTAAACCATCTTATCTTTCAAAGTTGAAAAGAGAGGTGTTAGGTGTCTCTTGTTTTCAATTTTGTAGTCATAGTGATAAAGTTGGTCTAGTCTTTGCTGGAAAAGACTTATTTTTCTAATGAATTGGATTGTAGAACCTAAAGGAAGCCAGGACTAATTCAAACTAACAAAGACGGTCGTAAAAAAGAATTGCTTTGTTGGGGATACGTAGGAAACGTACTGCAAGTGGTTTGTGTTTGATTTTGGGTTATCTGATTATGTGTGCAAGAGTTTTTATGACTTTAAATTGATTAATTTATGTAGCTCAACACTACAAGAATTTTTGTGGCTTTTGCTTGGTACCCCGTCCAGAAATGATTGACGGAATATTATTTTGTCATAACAAGGAACCAAATTGGTATTTAATCAAAATTTTCTCAAGAAAAAACACACATATATATAGAATGCATTACACTGTTTTACTTGGTCAAATTATAGTACATTACTAAACACGAGAAAACTTTCTTTGTAAACGAGCCACTTTCAACACAATTGCTAGTGTTACCTTATCTTTGGTGTTGTCAAAAAATCGAAAATAAGCATACCTCCATGATTTCTTCACAAGTAATGTACCACAAACACCCCAAAAGCCCACGACAAAGCCAAGTACCATGCTGACATAGAACCACAACTTATCACTTCAGTCTTCATTAATGGGTTTTGCATCTGTAGTAGTAAAAGTGTCATCTCCGGGGCATTTTGTTGGAAGAGGAACCCCACACAATGATGGATTGCCCATATAAATGGACGGATCAGTGAACGTTTGAAGTTGGCTGCCCAAAGGAATTCTCCCCACCAAGTTGTTATTAGCCAAATTCAAGTGCGCCAAGAATGTTAAAGATGCAAGAGTTTGAGGAATCTGTCCTGAAAGACGGTTGTTTGAGAGATCAAGAGTTTCCAGCCTATGCATACTTCCAACAATTGAGGGGATGTTACCAGTCAACTGATTTCTCGACAAGTTCAAGGTACCCAAGAAAGTGAGGCTACCTATCTCTTGAGGGATTTCACCTTCTAAATTATTTGATGAAAGATCAATGCTCTTTACTAACATTACAGTGGTGTTATACACAAGTTCTTCTCCTTTTACTGTCAGCTTGGTTTGCTCATGAAAAAGAGAAGTCAAATTATTGAAACAGCTGGGAATAGTACCTGAAAAGTTGTTGTGGCTGAGGTCGAGGATGTGAAGGTAGCCAAGATTGCAAAATTGTCGGGGAATATGTCCAGTAAAAAAGTTTGATCGCAATCGTAGCATGTATACATCTGATCCTCCTATCCATGGAGGTATGCTCCCAAAAAATTTGTTGCCTCCAAGATCGATACTTTGTAAATCGGAGCATTTGTGCAAATCGGGAATCTTACCTCCAAAATTGTTGTCATTTAGCTTCAATATTTTAAGAGAACTTAACAGCCCTATTGAAGTGGGAATATTACCTGAGAGATTGTTGTAGGCAACATCTACAACGAGTATCGGCCTCCTCGAACACCATGCGTTAGGGAATTCTCCAGAAAAACCATTGCTCCTCAAGGAAAGGATTCTCAGGTCTAGTATGTTGCAAATAGAAGGTGGAATTGTACCATTCAAATGATTCTCTGAAAGATACAATTCGTCCAATTTGGGCATGAGCTGGTCAACACTCAAATTGCCTTCCCAAGAATTCCAAAATAAATTGCTTTCGAGATCAAGGGAGATGGCATTAGGGAACCATAGTGGGAGTGGGCCCTCAAATTGATTATGATCCAAACTTATTCTTCCTAAATTCGGAAATCTCATCAATTTGTTTGATGAAAGCCTACCTCGAAATTGGTTGTAAGATAAATCCAACCGTATGAGTTTGGAAGACAGCTTCAACAACCATTCCTCAGGTATAGAATCTGATATTCCAGTTCTACTAAGGGTGACGTGTGCCAGTTCAGTCTGAGATTGAAGCCATACCCCAAAACCAGGACCTACTTTGAAGTTTATAATATGAATTTTGTGGAGCTTGAAAGGAGGAACCCAATCATAAGACACGTTGAAAACGAGGGACATGGGCTTTTGTATGCCATCGAAATCGTTGCCTATTGAAAGACTTTTCAAGTTGGTGAGATTAATGAAATGGGCTTCCGTTATATTGCCTTCCCAAGAATTCCAAAACAAATTGAGTTCAACTAGCGCGGAGAGTTGTCCTAGACTTTGTGGAATGGACCCGTTCATGTGATTATTACTGAGGTACAAATACTGCAAACTTTTTAACATTCCTAAGGAGGCCGGCAATTGGCCTTCCAGCCCGCAACTAGACAAACCTAGTGACTCTAATACTAGTGTATTATTTGGACAATTTGACAAACTCCCCCAAAACTCTTCAATCCCCCCACCACTAAAATCGTTCCACCTAAGATTTAATGTCCTTAGCTTGCATGAGTTTCCAAGGACTCTGGGAACTCCACTATCTTCGAGCCCCGAATGAGTTAAATCTAGGTATTCAAGAGATTTGAGGTTTCCAAATTCAACTGGAAACTGAGCATCGAAAGAATTGCTGTTTAGATCAAGTCTTTTGAGGCTAGTAAGATTGAAAATCCAGCTGGGAAATGAAGAAGTATTGAAATCATTAGCTGAAAGATCAAGGACCGAAAGTGAGGTGAAGTTAATCCTCTGTAGAGATAGTGGATGGCTTACTAATCCACAATAAGATAAGTGTAACTCCAGTAAGGAAGGAAGCATGTTCTGGAATTTTAGGGGGGATGAACAGTAACAAATGGGAGGAGCTGCTGTTCTGGAATTTTAGGGGGGATGAACAGTAACGTTCGTAACGGAACTTCAAAAAAACTGACAGAAAGGGTAACGTGAGACGGTTTTTTGTACATTGGGGGGTACTTTGAGACGTTTGCAAACACAGGTGGTAATCTGAGATAAGTTGGAAAGCACATGGGGCATGTACATAATTAAGCCTATATAGAATGCATTACACTGTTTTATTGGGTCAAATTACAGTACATTATTAAACATGACAAAACTTTCTTTGTAAACGAGTCACTTTCACCACAAATGCTAGTGTTATCTTATCTTTGGTGTTGTCAAAAAATCGAAAATATGCATACCTCCATGATTTCTTCACAAATAATGCACCACAAACGTTAACGCTCCAAAAGCCCACAACAAAGCCAAGTACCATGCTAACATAGAACCACAACTTATCACTTCCATCTTCATTACTAGGTTTTGCATCTGTGGCAGTAAAAGTGTCATCTTCGGGGCATTCTGTTGGAAGAGGAACCCCACACAATATGCATACTCCAACAATTCATTCGTTCCAAGTCCAATCATGCTCATGTAATTAGTGCGTTTTCTTGACTAAACTGTACTCAACCTTTTGGCTGTTCAAATTCTAATTCGATTTCGGAGAAAGTTATTATTGGTCCCCAAATGCATGGTTGGCTGGCTTCTTACTTCTGCATGACTATATTCTTTATTTCTCCTTGACAGAGCCACAATGTTTTCTTTAATACTCATGATGCTGCTACTGTATTATGCCCAAATATTCACTTTTATTTATGCTATTTTAACACAAATGGGTATTCAGTTTTATTTTTATTTTTTAATGGTAAGTGAAACATGTAGTAGAAAAATTAAATCAAATGCCAAATGCAAAATGGTGTTTACATTAAATGTTGACCCACCCTGAAATTTCAAACAACGCAATATAAGAGTTCTCTAGTCTGGTCTTTATATATAACGTGACAAGTTTAAGCACATAAAAAGCATACATCAATCAAGAGTCTCACAATTTTTGGTTTTGTGTGTGGTGTCAAACCCTGCTCTCATCAAGTGGCTCCTTTCCTGGACAACAACTAACATCCACCGGGCTATATACTCTTTTAGATGTGAAAATCTTGGACATCCAAATATAAGTCTTTGGTGACTGGTAGGTTTGAGAATTAATACATATGCAACGGAGACTTTGAGGGTCTCCATAGCATCCATTATATATATATGTGTGTGTGTGTGTGTGTGTGTGTGTGTCTTAAGATGTTAATTTCGCGAACCTCATGAACCATTTGCGATAAAAATCGAAGACCTAGTGAAATGAAACAGTTACTTATTTTTCATTAAAATACAGTGAAAATAAAAAACAAAAAACATCACATGGTACATAAATTTCATAGTTACCCAAGTGTAGTGAATTCAAGAACTTTTTTTTATTGCAATTGCTAGCCTTCCCTTATCTATATTCCTTATGTTATCAAACCGTAACTTGTTCACAAATAAGGTGTCATGCTAACATATAGTAGAACCAAAACATAATTATTATTGTTTGTCTGAGAGATTTTTGTATTTGAAAAATGTGCGAGGTTCAATATACGGGCTAATCCAGGACTAATTCAAACTAATTAAGGTGTGGTAACCAGATAATTAGCGGGACGTGCTCCAACTGGACCCCAAGAAAGACATATATGGGCTTTGTTGGTGAGCTTGTAACCAATTAGCGAATGTTGTGGGTGACCCAGGGCGGTTGCTAATAGTAGTAGTTTGTTGGTGAGCTTGTGACCAATTATAAATATATGGGCTTTTGATTGGTACCCCGTCCAAAAATGATTGATGGACTATTATTTTGTCAAAATAAGAAACCAAATTGGTATTTAATCTAAATTTTCCCAAGAAAAACAAACATATGTATGGAATCCATTACACCGTTTTACTGGGTCAAATTATAATACACTATTAAACATGACAAAACTTTCTTTGCAAACGAGCCACTTTCAACGCAATTGCTAGTGTTACCTTATCTTTGGTGTCATCAAAAAATCGAAAATAAGCATACCTCCATGATTTCTTCAGGAGTAATGTGCCACAAACACCCCAAAATCCAACGATAAAGCCAAGGATCATGCTGACATAGAACCACAACGCTCCATTATCATTTCCATCTTCATTAATATGTTTTGCATTTGTAGCAGTGAAAGTGTCATCACCCGGACACTTTGGAAGAGGAACCCCACACAGTGATGGATTACCCATATAAATGGAGGAATCACCGAGCGTTTGAAGTTGGCTGCCCAAAGGAATTCTTCCCACCAAGTTGTTATAAGACAAATTCAAGTGGGACAAAAATGTTAAGGAAGCAAGGCTTTGAGGAATATGTCCTGAAAGATGGTTGTGTGAGAAATCAAGAGTTTCGAGCATATGCATACTTCCAACAATTGAGGGGATGTTACCAGTCAACTGATTCCTGGACAAGTTCAAGGTACCCAATAAAGTGAGGCTACATATCTCTTGGGGGATTTCACCTTCCAAAAAATTTGATGAAAGATCAATGCTCTTTACCAACATCAGAGTAGTGTTATACACGAGTTCTTGTCCTTTTAATGTCAGCATGGTTGGCTCCTGATAGTCATCTTGGAATATGTCGGAAACATTACGAATGAGAGAAGTCAGATTATTGAAACATTTGGGAATAGTACCGGAAAAGTTGTTGTGGCTGAGGTCGAGGATTTTAAGGTAGCTAAGATTGCACAATTGTCGGGGAATTTGTCCAGTAAAAAAGTTGGATCGCAATCGTAGCATGTACAACTTGGATACATTTGATCCTCCTATCCATGGAGGTATGCTCCCAGATAATTTGTTGTCTCCAAGATCGATACTTTTCAAAACAGAGCAATTGTGCAAAGAATCGGGAATCTTACCGCCAAAATTGTTGTTGTTGAGCTTCAATATTTCAAGAGAACTTAATTCTCCCATTGAAGTGGGAATATTACCAGAGAGATTGTTGTAGGCAGCATCTACAATCCTTATTTGGCTCCCCAAACTCCATGCGTGAGGGAATTCTCCAGAAAAATGATTGCTCCGTAGGGAAAGGACTTGCAGGTATTGCATGTCGCAAATAGAAGGTGGAATTGTACCATTCAAATAGTTCTCCGAAAGATCAATAATGCTCTTTACTAACATTATTGTGGTGTTATACACGAGTTCTTGTCCTTTTAATGTCAGCATGGTTGGCTCCTGATAGTCATCTTGGAATATGTTGGAAACATCACGAACGAGAGAAGTCAAATTATTGAAACAGCTGGGAATAGTACCTGAAAAGTTGTTGTGGCTGAGGTCGAGGATGTGAAGGTTGCCAAGATTGCACAATTGTCTGGGAATTTGTCCAGTAAAAAAGTTGGATCGCAATCGTAGCATGTACAACTTGGATACATTTGATCCTCCTATCCATGGAGGTATGCTCCCAGATAATTTGTTGTCTCCAAGATCGATACTTTTCAAAACAGAGCAATTGTGCAAAGAATTGGGAATCTTACCGCCAAAATTGTTGTTGTTGAGCTTCAATATTTCAAGAGAACTTAATTCTCCCATTGAAGTGGGAATATTACCAGAGAGATTGTTGTAGGCAGCATCTACAAAGGTTATCTGGCTCCTCGAACTCCATGCGTGAGGGAATTTTCCAGAAAAATTATTGCTCCTCAGGAAAAGGACTGTCAGGTTTTGCATGTTGCAAATAGAAGGTGGAATTGTACCATTCAAATAATTCTCCGAAAGATACAATTCTTCCAATTTGGGCATCAGCTTGTCAAAATTGGAGGGGATTGGCCCGGAAAATAAATTGCTTTCAAGATCAAAGAAAGATGCATTAGTGGACCATAGTGGGAGTGGTCCCTCAAATTGATTATGATCCAAACTTATTCTTCCTAAATTCGGAAATCTCATCAATTTGTTTGATGAAAGCCTACCTCGAAATTGGTTGTAAGATAAATCCAACCGTATGAGTTTGGAAGACAGCTTCAACAACCATTCCTCAGGTATAGAATCTGATATTCCAGTTCTACTTAGGGTGACATGTGCCAGTTCAGTCTGAGATTGAAGCCATACCCCAAAACCAAGACCTACTTTACAGTTGAAAATATTAATTGAGTGGAGCTTGAAAGGAGGAACCCAATCATAAGACACGTTGAAAACAAGGGACATGGGCTTTTGTATGTCATCTGAATCGGTGCCTATTGAAAGCCCTTTCAAGTTGGTGAGATTAATGAAATGGGCTTCCGTTACATTGCCTTCCCAAGAATTCCCAGATAGAAAGAGGTTAATTAGCTCGGAGAGTTGTCCCAGACTTTGTGGAATGGACCCGTTCATTTGATTACCAGAGAGGTCCAAATACTGCAAACTTTTTAACATTCCAAAGGAGGCCGGCAATTGGCCTTCCAGCCCGCAACTAGACAAATCTAGTGACTCTAATACTAGTGTATTATTTGGACAATTTGACAAACTCCCCCAAAACTCTTCAATCCCCCCACCACTAAAATTGTTCCACCCAAGATTTAATGTCTTTAGCTTGCATAAGTTTCCAAGGACTCTGGGAACTCCACTATCTTTGAGCCCCAAATAATATAAATCTAGGTATTCAAGAGATTTGAGGTTACCAAATTCATTTGGAAAATGAGCACTGAAAGAATTCCATCCTAGATCAAGTCTTTTGAGGCTAGTAAGATTGAAAATCCAGCTGGGAAATGAAGAAGTATTGAAATCATTAGCTGAAAGATCAAGGACCGAAAGTGAGGTGAAGTTAATCCTCTGTAGAGATAGTGGATGGCTTGCTAATCCGCAACCAGATAAGTGTAACTCCAGTAAGGAAGGAAGCATGTTAACAACATGCAGCCAATTTGTGTTGCTATGAAGATACACTGTATCGAGATTGAGGTATTTTAGAGAAGAGAGATGAGAAAGCCAATTCAAGTTTTTGGAAGAGAGTTGATATGAAGCACTGGCATCAAGATAGTTCAAGTTTGATAAGTTACCAAGAGAAGGGGGAATCTCTCCTGCAAAGTTTGCAGAGGAGATGTTGAGATACCTCAGAGTTTTAAGCTCTCCAAAGAAGTTAGGAATGCGGATCCCTTCAAAACCATTGCAACTTAAGTCCAGGTAATGCAAGTGTTTCAAGCTAAGCAAAGAAGGATTTATCTTACCCCCCAAGCAAGACTTGTTATAAGCCAACTCGTCCCACTCTTCATCATACCACTGGACATATGGATATGGATTGCGGAGATCCATTTGGGAAACATGACCGGTGCGGTTGTCGCATGAAATCCCTTCCCAGCGGCAGCAATCATGACCCGCCCAAGAAGAAAGCCTACCAGAGGGATCAGTAAGATCTTGTTTGAAGCTCACAAGTGCTTTCCTTTCTTCCTCAATGCATATTGATTTCGGTTTCACAGCAGTACTTGCAAGTCCAATACCCAATAAGCACAACGAAAGGAGCAAATAGTGAGAAATATTGATGAGGTGATGGATTTTCATTTTTTTGGGAATCAAGTTTTCTGAATTTGATGAAGATGAGCACACAAGAAGTGGACTCGATGATGCATTTATACAAGGCTGAAACTGATTATTTATCTTCAGATTTTCTACTTTTTGTTTGCTGCTCTCTCAAACGGTTCTCTCTCTTCACTTTCACTATATCATCAATGGACATTACATTACTATCTGTGCTGCTGGCCCACCTTCAAATTACAAACAACGTGGCAGTGCCACACAAATGGCCCGGACCACTAGAGAGAGTGGGGTTGTGGTTGTGGTTTACGATAGCGCGTGTAAAAATCAAACCCATAATCAACGGTCCAAGTCCTCAACCCATTTTGCAAGGTTGCAAGTCCAATCAGGTACATGGAATTATCATGAATCATGATTATATTTTTCATTTCTCCTTTTTTTTCGTTAATACATTACTCATGAATCATGATATGCCCAAATATTTCTTCTTCTTTTTTCATTTTTTAATGGTAAGTGAAAAAATTCTCTCTAGGGTTTTCTAGGGTTTTCTATTGTTGAGTTTAATAAATAACTTCATGCAAATAAATACCAAATTTAAATCAAAAGATAAATAAAGTTTATAAAAACCAGAATATTGTTGAGTTTAGGAAAAAAAAAGAAAAAAAGAAGAAGAATATTGTCTCACAAAATACTGTACTCTACCCATTTTGCAAGTTTGCAAGTCCAATCATGCAAACTGTACTCAACCTTTTGGCTGTTCAAATTGTAATTCGATTTCGGAGAAAGTTACTGTTTGTCCCCAAATGCATGGTTGGCTGGCTTCTTACTTCTGCATGATTATATTCTTTATTTCTCCTTGACAGAGTCACAATGTTTTATTTAATACTCATGATGCTGCTACTATATTATGCCCAGTTTTATTTTCATATTTTAAAGGTGAGTGAAATATGTAGTAGAAAAATTAAATCAAATGCTAAATGCCAAATGGTGTTATATATTACATCAAACGTTGTTCCACTCTGAAATTTCAAACAACGTAATATAGGGGGTTCTTTAGTCTAGTCTCCATATATAATGTGACAAATTTAAGCACATAAAGACTCCTATATATCAATCAAGAGTCTCACATATAATGTGTATTTAGCATATATTTTATTAACTTTTTTTATTTTATTGTGTTGAATTTACAATGCGTCAAGTTGTTATTCTCATAGGAAGTTCTATAGTCTTGTTTTGTTCTTCATCATTCTTGTAACTTCTCGTAAGTCTCTCTCTCTCTCATATCCCTCAATTAACAAAACGTTATAGGAATTAATTTTATAATATATATATATATAATATACCTATAAATAAGCTATCAAATTTGAAAATTAAAATACTAAATGGTCAATTAGTCAAATTTGAAAGAAAAAAAAACCATATGACAGTAATTACACCAAACTTTTAATTACTTTTTATTAAAATAAGAAAAAAAAACTGACCCATTAAATCCTTGGAATCGGCATTGAGATTGTTTTACCACAAGTCACAATGGAAGAATCAGAAATTGTTTTACCACTGTTTTTATGGTTGATATCGTATTATGCATGAAATCTGACAGAGCCACAATGTTTTCTTTAATACTCATGATGCTGTTATGGCCGAATATTCACTTTTATGTATGCTATTTTGACACAAATGGGTATTCAGTTTTATTTTCATTTTTTAATGGTAAGTGAAACATGTAGTAGAAAAATTAAATCAAATGCCAAATGCAAAATTTTGTTTACATCAAATGTTGTCCCATCCTGAAATTTCAAACAACGCGTGATAAGAGTTCTCTAATCTAGTCTCTATATATAATATGACAAGTTTGAGCACATAAAAAGCATATATCAATCAAGAGTCTCACAATTTTTGGTTTTGTGTATGGTGCCAAAGCATGCTCTCATCAAGTGGCTCCTTTTCCTGGACAATGACTAACATCCACCGGGTTATATACTCTTTTAGATGTGGAAATCTTGGATATCCAAATATAAGTCTTTAATACATATGCAGTGGAGACTTTGAGGGTCTCCATAGCATCTATTTTATATATATATTATAGTAATATACTGTTATGTATTTGTATATGTATATTATTTCAAATACTTTATGTTTGATATGTACCCACATGTATTGTGGCGGACTTATTAAGGCACAAGGAGGTAGTTCAAATTGCACCCTTGCTCAGCTAATGGAGATGCACTTCAGGTGTACAGATTATTTCCATTTTCAACATTTAAGTAAATGTCTTTGTCCTTTGACTTTAATTTATTTTTATATTACTCTATTTACTTAAGTTTACAATGTAAATAATGAAGTACCCCCTATTTGAATTCAAATAAAAATACTAGAAAATCAAATTCTCACCAAGTCAAAATATGAAAAATCGGTTTTAGTGTAAAATACGATTTAGGCTAAAAATGATGGCTCATTAAGTCAATATATACTTCATACTAAAATCCCATAAAATCAAGTTTTCTTATTTCATGTGTAAGGAATAAAAGCCGCCAAAAATTATCTTGAGAAAATGATTATTCCGAAAAAACCATTTTTCATACTTAGTCAATATTTTTTCATGTATGATATGAATGCATAAAGGGGCCTAAGGTTGTTTTTAATTTGGGAAATTTTGAATTTTTTTTTCCTTTCTATTGGATTTAATGGGGAAAAAGCTTTAAAGATATTTGCTAAATCACTACTCTTTGTCTATCTCTTGCAATTTTCTTGCTTAGAATGTATTTGTCTATCCCTTTGTCGAGAACAATTATGATTGCAACCAATAAGCGATATAATTCTTGACATATGTGATATATATACACTATTTTTTGTATGTATTATGAGTTCGAATTTTTGATTCTTTATATTTTGTAAGAGGTCCCCAAACACATGAAATCCTGGTTTCGCCATAATATATGTCTCAAGATGATAATTTCACGAACCTCATGAACCATTTGTGATAAAAATAGAAGAACTAGTGAAATAAAACAGTTACTTATTTTTCATTACAATACAATGAAAATAAAAAATAAAAAACATCACATGGTACATAAATTTCATAGTTATCCAAGTGTAGTGAATTCAAGAACTTATTTATGTTCAAATCAAAATTTCCTTTGAAAAGGACCCACTTTTTTTATTGCAATTGCTAGCCTTCCCTTATATATATATTCCTTATGTTATCAACCCGTAACTTGTTCACAAATAAGGTGCCATGCTAATAGAATCAAAACATAATTATTATTGTTTGTATGAGAGATTGTTGTCTTTGAAAAATGTGCGAGGTTCAATATACCTACAATATATATAGATATATATATATATATAATATCTACCTATAAATGTGCGAGGTTCAATATATGGGCTAATCCAGGACTAATTCAAACTAATTAAGGTGTGGTAACCAGATAATTAGCGGGACATGCTCCTAGTGGACCCCAAGAAAGACATATATGGGCTTTCTTGGTGAGCTTTTAACCAATTAGCGAATATGGTGGGTGACCCAGGGCGGTTGCTAATAGTAGTGTTTTGTTGGTGAGATTGTGACCAATTATAATACTTTCTTGAAGCATCATATTCATTGATTTTGTAGGATACAATTAGATGTCAAAATGGTTTTCAATTTATCTAATTTTTTGCAAAGATGATTTATGAATGTATACCTAAAAAATAGATGATTTGGATCGTTAAAAAAAAATTCGTAAGGGACCTTAAAGGGTGTCCCTCAAATAAAATTAATTGAAGGATCTCTCACTAGAAAGGGACTGTGTATATATAAGCTTCAGTTGAGGGATTCTTAAAATAAGCTTATTTGAGGGACACCCTTATAGGGCCCATTTTTTTATTGTATTTCACTAATATAAACCGTCGATTTTGTAGATATTCATTCAAAGATGATCTCTACAAAAAATCATGAATTCGATATCATTTTACCACTCAATTGAAATATTAAAGTTTTAGTACTTTCTTGAAGCATCGTGTTCATTGATTTTGCTGGACACAATTGGAGGTCGAAACGGTTTCTGATTTGTCTAATTTTTCGCAAGGATAATCTATTAATGTAAACTTAAAAAAATACATGGTTTGGATCTTTGAAAAAAAATTAGTAGGGGACCCTAAATGGTGTCCCTCGAATAAAATTATTTGAGGAATCTATCAATAGAAGGGGATTGATATATATAGAAGCCACGAGGAGTCTTTTCTCTCTCCTGAGGAGCTCTTAGATGTCTCCTTATTTTAGGAGGTGATTAGAGCCTTTCTATTGGACAGCCCTTGCCAGGGCATAGGGGGCCCAAGCCTCGTTTCATGATTCCAGCGGTCTTAAGCTGCCAAGGCAGCTGCTGGGGCGAACGAAACCAGGCCAGCCCTCAGGCAAAATGAGCCCGAGCTCAAGCCCGGGTTCGCTGATGTTAGCAACAAAAAAAATTTACAAAAAATTTCAGAATTTTTAAAAAATAAATACTTAGTCGTATTTTTCACTTTCACACCAAAACTCTATACAAATTTCTCTCCTCATATCTCATGTAAATAGTTGTTGCCATGGCAATAGGTGGAAACACCACAACCTTTGGAAAGGGTTGTTACTATTCACTTGAATAGTAACAGCCCTTGTCTTGCCCTTGCCCTTTGCCATGGCAAATCGATGGAAGTGCTCTTAGGGAGTATGATTGGAGTTGTATTTTTCAAATTCCTCTCTAAAATTTGTCTAAGAAAGTAGTTTCGAGAGCCCATTATAAATGCTTAAGTAGAAGAAAAAAGAAAAATCTATTGCCAAATGCCAAACGGTTTGACACCACATTAGAAAGGGATTGAGGATGGCGCCTTGAAATTACAAAGAACGTGAGCGAGGGGTCTTTCTAGTCTCCACATGGCTTGACACCGCATTAGAAAGGGATTGAGGATACACAAGATTCCAGGTCCAATCAAGTACATGGAATTATATCCATTTTCTTGACTAAACAGTAGTAGTCTACTTTTTAGGCTGCATAAATTGTAATTCCATTTCG